GAGCGGCTCCCGAGCTTCAGGCTGTGACCGTGGCGAGGACTCTCCTGACGAGTCTCCTGACGCGGCCGAGGCTGAGGTCCGCCGGGTGGGGTGAGGCGCTCCCTCCGGGGGCCCCGCCGCCCGGCTTTGCGCCCCTGGAAGCTGGCGAGGGCCCGCCCCCCCTCCCTCCCGTGCCCCCTCCCGGCTCACCGGCCCTCCCACAGGTAGCCGCCTCTGGTCCCTTTCCTAAATTTCGCCCACCTCGTCCCAGCCGCCGAACCGGACCGTGAGGCCTTGCTCCCGAACGCCCTCCCACAGCAGCGACGGCCTTCTGGCCCCGGGGCCCCAGCTGGCTCTCTCTCCACCTGGGCCCCTGCCACTCCCCCTCCCTCGGGCCGCTCCCCCCCCACCCCGCATCGTGCACAGCACACCCCTCCCCGCCTCCTCCCCGCTGCTCTGCCACACCCCCCCGCCCCCCCGCACCACGTGGGCCTTGACGGTCTGCCCCCTGCCACCCACAGGCTGGGCGCCCAGGGCCACACGGTGGGGGGAGGTGATGTGTAAACTGGGGCCCAAGGGAGCTGGGCCCCTCGCTCCCTGCTGGGCCAGGCCAGGCACCGGGAGAGACCGAAACACCAGCGAAAATACGGCGACAGGGCAGAAAGGTACGAGCAGCCCGCAGCCGCGGCGGGCAGGGCCGTCCTGCTTCCGTGCGAGGCCCGGCGAGGAAGCGCGCTTGCGCCTGCCCCCCAGGTCCTGGCGGCCGCGCACTCGCTGGGCCCTGAGCGGGGCAGGGAGGAGCCTGGCAGCTGGGCCTCCCTCCACTTTGGACCCCGGACACACCCGCCCAAGCCCGTCTCTGCCCCGTCCTGGAACGCGCGCCAGCAACAGAAGCAAGGACGGCCTGGTCGTCGGCGCCCTTCTCTCCGTGGGCAGCGCGGCTGCGTCTCGCCCTCTGACGGGAAGGCCGCAGGAGGTGGCCGGACGGGGCCCCGGGGACGGCGGGACCCAGAACCACGGATGGCGTGCGAGGCCATCGCAGGCGGGGCCCAGAGCCAGGCGTCTGCCACCGGCTCGCTCAGTTCGTTCTGCTTTGCTTTTCTAGGTTCAGGCTCCAGCCTGCCTCTTCCAGGCAGCCTTCTTGGCTTGATCCTGAGCCTGTCACAAACATGTGGTTTAAGCACTTTGCTTCCTTGGCAAATGAGAGTATTTTGTCTCACGGCAGGGGTGGATGCCCCTGATATAAGGATCCCCCTAGGAAATTCTAGAGACACACTTGCCTGCCTGTGACTGCTGGAAAGAATAATGATGCTATTTTTGACAAATGCCGTTTATAAAACACAGCACTAAGGGCTTTGCATTCCATCATCTTATTTACTCTCGGCAACGTGCACGTGAGGGGGGCACTGTTACAAATGGGGAAACTGAGGCTGAGGGAACCGGGGGAAGCCAGGGAGCTTCCCTAGGGCCGTAAAGGGAAACCTGGCCCCCGAGCCTGCTCGGCCCCCCGGCCACCCCGGCCGCCCGCCTCCTCTCCCTGCCTCTCCCGCTCCCCCAAGAACATTCCGGTCCAGCCCCCTCCGCTGTGCTTCACCCTAAGGGGCCCACGTGGCCATGGGGGGCAGCTGCCGTCTCCGGTCACAGGTGAGGAAGCCGGGCGCGAAGATGCGGGCTCCAGGGCACCAAGCAGTGAGGGGGCGGCCGGGACAGCAGCCAGGTCCCCACGTGGCAGGCGACCGGCCGCCGCCGCCCACGTTGCTCGGCCGGCTTTGCGAACCAGCTCATCGGCGAAGCATCAGGCCAGATTTGCCCCGGGGGGCTTCCTGCGGCTCCTCAGGGCCATCGTGCCCGCGTGCCTGGCCTGCTGGCACGGGTTTCTCCCGCAGAGGCCCTGCGGCCGCCGCACGGAGCGTCCAGCGTGCCTCCCTAACGGCAGTCACGGCCCGGCTGCGCAGGGCCGGAGGCCGACGGGAGCTGGGAAGCCTTTTTAAAAGGGGCAATAAAAGTTTTGGGTTTCAGATGGTCTTGCTGGAGAAGAGAATAACAGACACAGGAAATTTCAGTAGCAGACAGACAAAGGCCACAGCACGCAGACGCCCTCAGACGGAAACACCGCGCTGTGCAAACAGAGGACGCCCTGGCGGAGGCCCAGGGCGCCGCACACCATGCCAACCTCGCCCCGCGGCGGGGGGGTTGGGGGGCGGGTGGAGGGGCCGCTACAATAGACTGTTTTGTCTGGTTGTTGTAAGTGTTTATAATACTTCTCCGTTCGGGCTGCTGGAGGTGTGCAGCGCCTTCCCCCCGCCGGGCTGCGAGCCCGCGTGCGGGGAGGGGTGTGCGCCGGGCACCGGCACCTTGGCGGCCCTGCCAGGGCATCGGTGGCTGTGGTCCGCGCTCTGCAGAGTCTGGGCCCCGGGCGCTGCTGCGGGGCCTGTGTCCGCCCCTGCCCCCCGGTTCCGACGGGATCCACCCCGTCTTCCACACCCTCCCCCGGTCCTGGCAGGGAGGCCCCACCCGAGCCGGGCCCTGCAGCACCTCTCCCTGGGTCCCCAACCCGCAGGGCCAGGGAGTGGCCCGTCCTTTTGCTTCCTGCAGCTGCGACGTTCCGCACGGCGGCTGCCGGCCACGGGGGCGGGGCTGCCCAATCGCACGCAGGACACCAGAGTCCATGGTTTTCAGGGGCGCAGCGAGCCGTCTCGTGGGGTGTCTCGTGCTGGCGGGGCCCGAGGACGAGGCGCGCACAGGCGAAGTCACTGTCTTGTTGTTCCTCTGAAGTTCACCCTACATTTTACCTGCAGCCCGGCACCTGCGGCTGTTTAAGTCGAAATTAATTAAAATCGGCGCTCGTGGAGCGGCTCGGCTCCTCTGTGGCACGAGCCCCGTTTCCCACGTCCCCGGGCCACGGCCGGAGCGCCTCCATGCCTGTCACCGGAGCCGGCGCTCAGCTCGGTGCTGCTGGGCTCTGTGCTTCGGGCTCTCGCGCCAGAAAACCCAGGACTCGGGTCCCCAGGCCCCGTGAGTCTGCCCGCAGCCTAAGGTCGGCAGGGGCGGCCTCGCACCTGAGGCTCCAGGGACACGACGGCCCCAGAGCCTGAAGGCCAGGGCACTCTTCCCTCGTCAGCCTCAGGGGACGGGGCGGCCGCCTCCGTCTCCGGCCCCGGGGGGAGCCCCCGCGATGTCAGAGCGGACCTCGGAGCCCCAGCGCGCGGCTCTCGGGTGACGACGGGCAGGCCCCTGGCTCCGCGGCCGGCGTCCTGGCCCTCCGTGTCCTCATCTGCGAAGTGGGCCCAGGCCCCCCGCCCTGCGGCCCCCAAGGGTCTCTGCGGGGGCCGGCCCTGCCTGGGAGGGGCGCGGCGGGCCGGGAGCCGAGGGGCGGGCAGGCCGAGGGCTGGAGCGCGCCTCCTAATTGTCCGTGACTTACAGACTTGGCCGGGCTCCCAGACAGCCTCGCAAATCACCGCGGCCACGGCGAGCAGCCCGTAAGCACGGCCCGTACGCGCTTGGCAGGCCCCTCGCCTCCCCCTGCTTGGGAGCATCCCGCGGCTTCCAATTTTCCATGTGCTGCCACGGAGGTGGGAGGGGGGCGCGCCCGCCGGGGTGGTGGGCGGTGGCGAGGGGCGGGGCGGGGCGGGGGGCGGCGAGCTTGCCCACGCCTGTTTCCGGCGCACCGTCCCCTGGCTCCCCCAACATGCCCCTGGGTCTCCCTTTCCGCACAGCCTGGTGCTGTGACTCAAGTGTCCCCTGGCCAGAGGGGAAGGCTGTCAGGGTGTCTGTGTGTACGTGTGTGTACGTGTGTGCCGCACCCACACGCCCCGGGCCTCCTCTTGCCCCCAGGAGGGCAGAGCCCAGTGGGGGAGGGGCCCCTGCTGCGTCCTGGGCCGCGGCCCGGCGGAGGGGACAGGCCCAGGGGGGTGGCCTGGCGCTGTGGGCCCGCTTCCTCGCCTGCTGAGGGCCCGGCGCCGTGTGGAGCCAGGGGGCCGTGGGGACAGGAAGGCGCTGAGCCAGGGCCAGGCTGCGGGTGTCCAGTTCCCGAGACGCAGGACCCCCGGGGCAGTCAGAGGGGCCGGCCGATGGGGGCCCGGCCGAGGGGCCCACCCTGCCCCCGGCCGCAGGTGCTGCGCCGGCTCCCGCCATTCCGCCCCGAGGCGCGCAGGGGGCGGCTTTCGGACAAGTAGCCGGCGCGCCCCGCGGTGGGGCGGGCGTGGGCAGCTGCAGGTCTGGAAACACAAACAGGCCCCAGCCAGGTGTGGGCGACTTCCTGCGACAGATGTGCCCGGACCACGCGGGAGCCGCGGTGGGCTCGGCTTTGTGAGGTGATGTCTGGGAGGCAGCTCCTGCCCGCCCCCCGGGGCCCGGCGCAGACAGGCTCTGCGTGGGAGCGGGCTGACCGCCCCGCGGGCCCCGCCCAAGGCCGCTGCCAGCCTCCGCCCGGGGCCCCTGCACCGCGACCCACCTGCCCCGGCCGGGGAGCCGCGGGCAGGCTCGGAGGACGGAAAGGGGTGCCCGCGTGGGCTTCCAGTGAGGCCAACAAATCGAGGCATTTCTTACTGATTATTGTCATCAAAACAACGGGATTTAGGGACCCAGCCCGGGGGGTGGCCATGGGGCGGGCAGGCCCGAGCTGGGGACACAACCGGCCCCACTGGCCCCGGCTTCCTACCCGGGGGGCGGTGGGGGGGACACAGGACGGAAGCCCACTCCCAAGAGCAAACAGGAGGGGGGAGCACACGAGAGCCCCCCCGGTGGCCAGGACCGGGCTGGGGCTCTTGGGCGAAGGTGGGCGAGGGAGCGGGACAGACGCGGCTCTGGGGTGCTGCGCACACCCCGTCGTCGTGGCCGCAGCTGGAGGAGGGAGAACTTTCTTTCCTTCTTTCCGGCGCGGCGCTCGGCACCCAGTCGAAGTTTCGCAGGGGGCTGGCAGGGAGGCGCCTCCCAACCCCCAGGCCCTTTAGGAACGCGAGGACAGAGCGTCCTGGCCGCGCTGGGCTGGGGGAGGGCCAGAGGGCTCGCCGGGCGTGCGGTCAGACGCAGGCACAACACAGTGTGGAGCAGTCCAGCCGGGCTGGCGGCCCCGCGCTCCCGGCCTTCTGGTTGACCCTGGGCAGCAGCAGGGCGAAGCACATGGCCAGCGCGCAGTGGTAGAAGCTGTGGACGTACGTGTAGTCCCAGTCCTGCGGGGCGGGCGGGGCGGTCACAGCCCTGGCCCCCGAGCTCCACCCGGCCCCCGCCCAGCCCCCCGCCCCGGCCCCACCCGCTCGGTGCCCCTGCGGGGGCCTGGCCCCGCCCCCCGCGGCCGGTACCTCGAAGAAGAAGCGCAGCATCAGGGCCAGGGCCCCGAAGCAGAGGCCGGGGCCTATCTGCTGGGCGTAGACGCTCTTGTCAGGGTACAGGCCCTTCTTCTCCTTCATCTGCCGCAGCTGCGGGGACGGGGCAAAGGCGGAGGGCTCTCAGGTCGCTGTGTCCGAGCCCCAGAGCCCCGCCCGCCCGTGTGGGATGCAACCCGGGCCCCTGCGCGGTCTCTGTCCCCCCACAGGGGACCCCCGAGGGGACTAGCACTCTGTTCACAGCCGAGGGGTGTTGAGGTGCTGGGCCTGCCGCCAGTGTGGCCGTGGGGGTGTCCGCGATGGTCCGTGACCCCCCTCAGAGCGTCCACAGCCAATGGACCCACAGTCGTATTGATTAGACAAACTCGACCGGCACATTAAACCTACGGCTTCTCAGGTGCCGATGCTTAGAAGGCTCAGCAGGCGTTTACATCAAAAAAGTAGGGACCCACGTACACCCCATGGCGCGCCGACCCCTCGGGCCGCGCCGCTGCAGAGCGTAGGCGTTTTGGGCGGAAGCGGGGCACGCGGCGACAGCCGTGACGTCACGGGAGCCCCGGGGGGCTGGGCGGCGGCCCAGACCGCAGGCCCCGCCCGCCCGCACACGCAGAGCACGGGGCAGCTTTCGCCCCCCAGCGAACAGCGAGACGAAGCTCCGCTTTCGGTTTCCTGGACTTTGCCGTGGCCCCTGAGGAATCGGGACATGCATTGGCGTAGGCCGCTCGTGGGTGCGGCCACTGCGACCGGGGAGCCCTGTCCAGCCAGGCCTGCGCCTGCCCGGGGTCGTGCCCTGGCCTGGCCTCCCCAGCCCCCGCACACCTCTCGCCAGGTCCTCGCCCCGGGGCGGCTGCGCCCAAACCTGGCTCAAGCAGGGATGAGCCTCTGGGAGAAAAATCCTCCCTCCTTCCAGGAAACAGCTGCCCCTGGAAATCCAAAATAAACTCCACGTTCAATGGTCTAGAAAACTCAAGTGGAGTCCCAGACGCAGGGAGCCAGGCTGCCCTCTCGGTTCCCTGGCCAGACCCGCAGCCCCAGGGAGCTCCGTGAGGGTACCCGCAAGTGACCGCTCTTCTGGCGGATTAAAATGCAGCCCGGGTTCAGACCGCCGGGGCCCCGGGGCCCAAGAAGCCCTGCGGGCCGGGGCAGGAAGCCTTTATCCTGCGTGCTGCCAGGGTGGGTGCCTCGTCAGAGCCCTGAGCCCTCTGCGTCCACGCGTTCCAGCAGGTTCCGTAACGTGGTCTTTCCTCGGGGCCGGACCGTCAGCCCCGACACGCCTCCTGTCCTCTCACGGGCGCTTCCAGGAGCCTCCCAGGTCAGTCCGGGGCCAGCGCGGCCGCAGGTCGGGGTGGGGACGACCCCGCGTCTCTTCTCTCGTGGGAAGGGCCACGGCCGGGCCTCGGGCCGTCCCGCTGTGACCGCCTGTTAACTTGCTGGTCTCTCTGTGCCTTATGTCTTCATGAACCACGTGGCAAAATAGAGCCCCCACTCCCGGTGCACAGAGGAGCGGGCGTGTCTGGAAGTCTTGGCACCGGACTCTGATCGCCCTCCTGAGTCTGTAAAATGGGTTGTGGGCGCCTTCTGCACCCCCGGCCCGGCCGACCCCTCTTCCCTGAGCAAAGCCCCCCCGGTTCCCAGGCTTGGGTTCTGCGCCACGCGAGGCTTAGCTCCTTCCCCGTCCTGGGGTCCCGGGGAGCGCAGCTGGGTCTGCCCGCTGCTGCGTCCCTCTTTAGCTTGGGCCCGTGTGAGTGAGTTTTGGTCCTCTCAGCCAGGAGGGCGTTGGGGCGGCAGGGGGTCCAGCGAGGCCTGGGGACCGCGTGTCAGGGCCTCGTGGCTGCCGGCCCCCGGGTGCGGGCGGAAGGCTGTGGTGTCGGACACGCCTCCCCCAGTGCCCACGCAGGAGCCGTTCCGGCTTCCCGTCGACCCCACGCCACGCCCTCCCTCCTCATCAGAACCAAGCGGAAGGCCCACCCCCTCCAGGACGTCTTCCCAGGTTAACCCTGGCCATCGTTAACTGATATCACATCTCCAAAGCAGCCGTTCTCTTCAGGAATAACAACAAATAGCCCCTATTTGTGGAGCCCCTTAGAAGCCAGTTCTCTGTCAGTACTTAAGACGCGTTATCTTTGAACCGACCCAGCGAGGTGGGCACTGGACTGTTCCTAAAATGCCCCCATTACTAAGATGGAAACTGAGGCGGAGAGGCGCAGCACCTTGGCGTAGGTCCAGAGCTAGCGAGTGACAGACGCGACCCAAACCGGGTGCGGTGGCTGGGGTGCCCGGGGGTCCTTCTCTATGTGTGTTGGCCGAGCCCTGCCCAGCCCGCCCGCCCGCCCAGGAGGTGGGAGGGCAGTGGAGACCCGGAGCGGGGGGCCTGCCTGCGGAGGGCCGCCCGGCACGCACCCACTTGGCCGCGATGATGAGGACGGCCGTGCCAACGGGGCCGGAGTACACGCCGTAGCCCCGGCGGTCGTGGTAGATGCGGACGGCGGTGGTCAGCGCGCCGAACATCACCAGCGTCGACCTCTTGGGTTCGTCGAAGTCGGCCAGTGCTGGAGGGCGGGGACAGAGACCAGGAGAGGTGAGAGGCCTCCCTGCACCCCCACCTGCCCACCGCGTCCCGGGCACCCCTTAGGGGCCCCACTGCGACTGGCCGCGGGCAGCCTGGCCCCCCCCCGACGTGTGGATCCCAGCCGCCGTTGGCGCAGAGGCAGGGCCGCCGCTGCCCGCGGAATCTGCGCCTGGCGGGATTAAAGCGGCAGAAGCCGCTTTAATGGATCAGTGTGCGAGGGACTGGGAAGAAGCCACCGCGGGGGCCCCGAGGAGGAAGGCGGCCCGCGCCGGGACCGTTGCTGGCGGCAGGCCCCGCGCCCGGGGACTGCGTCCAGGCCGCGCCACAGACAGTAAAGCAAAAAGGAGTGGCGGGGCAATGTGCTTTTGAACGAGCCGCTCCTCACACAAACCCCAGCTGCGCAGTGCAAGGAGGCGCGTGTGAAGACAAGGCCGTGGGGCGCACCCCGCCGGAGGCGGGCGGGGCTCTCCAGGCCGAGACGGGGCGGCGGAGCTGCGGCACCTTCCTGCGCCGCCCACCGCTGCCCTGACTGACGAGCCTGGGTCGGATGTGTCCTTTTGAAAGGGCGTGCAGAGCGGGAATCCGGGCCCTGCAGAACCGCGCTGTCTTCTTGGCGGACTAAGCTCGCCGCCGGGGCCCGGGAGAGCGGAAAGGACCTCGGGGTGGGGGTCGGGGTGGGGGGAGGCTGGGGATGGGGCGTCTGCCGGCCAGGCCGCAAGCGGTGCCACTCACCCATCAGCGAGACCCACATGCTGAGCGCCGTCCCATAGATGCTGAAGTGCTCCAGGACGTCGCGGCGCAGGAAGCAGACCACCCACAGGCCGGGCCCCTCGCAGGCATGGTGGAGCTGCAGGGGGCGGGAGGCGGTCAGCGGCGGGTGCTGGCCGGCGCCGGGACCCTGGGCCTGCGCCGCTCCCCGGCCGTGCCCGCCGACGGCCGGGCTACTCACTGGCTGGGAGGCCTGGGCAAAGTCACACAGTGGCTCCCTCTGGAAAGTGGAGGCCCTGTGGCCGGAGGCCGGGGGTCACTCCGAGAAGCCCGCAGAAGTTCCCTCGCACCAGGTTTACTGAGGCGGGTGCCTGTCACCAACCTGGGGGTGGGAGGCCAACCCTTTTTGGGGGGCCGTTGCCAGGCCGTGCTTCAGGGCCTGGGGGGCCCTCCCCCCACAGTTTACCCTCTGGTGACTGGGCAACCCCCCACCCCCACCCCAAGCGAGATTTCTCAGCCCCGACGGGGCCTGTGGAGCCACAGGCTGTGGGATGCCCACCGAGAGGCCCTGCCTCGGCGGGTCCACGGTGCCCGGAGGGGCCCGCGCCCTGGCGGGGCTGGGGCGGGGCTGGGGCGGGGCTGCCGGCGGGGCCCACACTGGGGACCGCCAGTCCGCAGCTGCCAGTGCCTGTTTCTTTACAGAGCGGGAAGGCCGCAGAGCCCGCGCTGAACGCGGCAACCCGGTGTCCCTACAGTTGTCCGCCCGATAAAATAAAAAAAAAGTAGAGAGAGAGAGAGAGAGAGAGAGAGACGTTGACCTACTGATCCCCTTACTACACACTTACCGGCCGGTCCTTGTGTGCGCCCTGACCTGGGGTCAAACCTTAAAGCGACTTGCCCGCGTGGAGTATTTTCAAAACCGTCAGCTTACTTCTGACAGAAAACAACTCTCCTTTCATGTACACATTTCATCATTTTAAGTAATATTTAATTACATGACATAATTATTTTGACAGGTTCCACGGCACAAACGAGCTGGGAACCAGCACAATCGACTCTTGATGAGCCGGCCCGGCGGGAGGCAGGCAGACAGCGGCCCGTCGGGAGGCCCCGGGGCGGCCGGGGGCGCCCGGGGAGCGGGGCCTGCGGGGGCGGCTTTCGGCGCTCGCTGGCGGCGGCTGCAGGCGACCCGGAGCGCGGGTGCGCCCGGCAGGCGCTGTGGGGGCAGCGGCCCGACGAGGCGGAGGCCGCCCCAGGGCCCTAGTCAGAGCCGCTCAGCGGCGGGCTCTGGACGCTGCACTGTTTGCAGGGAGGCAGGCAAAGCGGGGGGTAGGGGGGGCAAGCAGGCAGCAGACGTGCCCGTGGAGCGGGGGAAAGGGCAGCGTCAGGCGGGGTCTGATCAAGGGGCTCAGTCGCCGTGGACAGAGCGGGGACGAGGGCACGCGCTCCCCCCTCCCCGGCTCTGTGAGCAGAGCCAGGCCCTGGGAGCCACAGCGATGCTCCCGCCCCCCTGCTCCTTCCAGAGCCACATCTCCCCCAGCCCCACCCCCGCCTCCCTGCCGGCTGTCCCTGCCCCGCCTCCCGCCCCCCCTTGGTAGCGCGATCCCTGCACGCGACCGCGGACTTAATCCCTAGGATGGTCTGGGCAGGGCCTGTGCCCGGCCCGGCCCCGCCCCCGCGGGATCGGGTCTGTCTCCCCCGCCACGCCCGGCTCCGGGGCCCAGTACGCGTCCGCCCCGGGAGGCTGGGTCCGGGGCACGGCCGGAGCGGTTTACAGAGAGGTGGTCCAGGAGGCCCCGCCCCAGGCCTGTGCTGGCTCCTCCCTGTGGGACGGGGGGCTGCCCAGGTCTCCCCCAGCTTTGCTGCAGGGGCAGGCCGGGCCCCGGAGGGCGCGGGCGGGCGGGGCTGGGGGTGCGCGGCCTTCGGGCCGACCTAACGGGCCCTCGCTGCGGGCGCTCAGGCCAGCGGCCGGCCCTCGGGGCCCTTCTGACAAATGGGACAAGAATTCCCGCTCCATGGGGTGGGCCAGGGGACTCCATGCGACAGAGCACACGGCCCGGGGTCCGGCAGGGAGACGGCATTTGCCCTGGGGGTCCCGGACGGGGCATGGGCAGGCCGCGCTTTGCGGCCGGGGGGCATGGGGGGCTCCTGAAGAAAAGGGCCACGTGTGGCTTCGGGGCCCAAGGACATTTGTCACAGGAGGCAGCTGCCCCTGCCACTCTGGGCGGGGCAGGGCGGGGCAGGGCGGGCCTCTGAGGGTGGCGGGGAGGCAGCTGCGTGGGGACAGGCGGGGCCTGTGGCTTCCTGGGCCCGTCTAACGTGGCCTGGGGGGCCAGACCCCTGGCTGCTCCCCCGGCCCCGAGACCCTGGCCCCGGGTCCCCTCTGCACCCACGCTTGTCACCTGTCACACTGACACCCTCTCCCAAGCTGGGGTCCCGAGGGGGATGGAGGGGCCTTCACAAAACGCCCCGACTGAGCCGGGAGCTCAGGAGGGCGCCCAGGGCTTCCGGGGCACACGCGGCTCAGCCGCTCTGGGACCGAGCGTCCTCGTCTGACCAAGGAGCCCGGTGCGGCCCCCGGCCCCCAGCGCCCGGGGCCCTGAGAAGGCTCCCGGGGCCCAGCGCGCGCGGCACCCAGCAGGTCCCACCCCGGACGCTGGCCCGGGTCAGCGCCCCAGCGGCCACGGTCTCGCCCACCCACCGGCCGAGCCCCAGCCCCTGGGAGTCCGGTTCCGTCCGAGGGTCTGCTACGTAGGCAGACAGACGGTGGGTCAGGCGGACAGACAGACAGAAGCTAGAGGGATGGGTGGCGTCAGAGAGCCGCTGGAGGGTCCGAGGAGCAAAGCTAGAGATTCGCAATGAGCAGATTCTGTGGGGGCAGGGCTCCGGGCGCCAACACACAACCAGACACAGATGAAGAAGGAGAAAGAAAGAAGAGAGAGAAGCAGAGAGAAAACTAGACATAACGGAACCAGTGTGAGACCCATGGAGCGGAAGAGACCCCCAGGGAGGGGTGGGGTGCGGGGGTCAGCGAGGAGACATCCCGGACTAGGACCAGGAAGAGAGGAAGGGCCGAGAGGAGGAGAGCAGCAGCTGCGAGCGAGGCCCCGCCGAACCGGGGCCCTGCGTCCGCCTCCACAGGCCCCGCACGTCCCGCCGAGCCCCCCCCGCCCCGGCCGGGCTCCCTCGGTCCCCGCCGCCCCACTGCCCTGGTCCTGTAGCCGGGAGGCGGGTGGGGGAGGGGGAGCCGGAGCCGCTGTGGCCGGGGGTGGCTGGCCGGTGGCGCGCAAAGGGGCCCCCGAAGGGCTTGTCCTAACAAACGGAGCCTGCCCGCTGTGGGCTCGGCCCCATTCGCACAGATCCCAGAGTGACTGCCCGCCCCAGCGGGGAAACCGAGGCCCCGAGGGGCGGAGTGGCACCCCCACCCCCTCGCCTGGTCTCTGGGCTTTTGCTTTTTCCACCGGGAAGTCACTTTTCTTCAGCACAAATACAGAAAGGAGGGGGGAGGACAGCGCCCCCCACCTGGGGGACGGCGCCCCACGCGGGCCCCCCCGCCCCCGACTCACCGCCACAAAGAACATGGTGAAGAGGTAAACCATGGCCTCCATGTGGAACCGCCGCCTGGCGGCGATGCTGATGGTGGGGACAAAGGCCAGGCTGCTGAGGGTGGGCAGGAGCAGTTTGGCCACGAGCGTCCCCATGGGCCGGCGAGGGAGGCCCCAGGTCCCCGGGGCCAGGAAGCCCGAGGCAGAGGACGCTCGGGCGGCAGCTGCGGGCAAGTGCCCGGACGGGAGGCGGGGAGCGGAGTGCACGCGTGTGCCGCCGGTGCGGGGGGGCCGACAGCTGAGGCACCACGTGACCAGCACTTGTCTTGCAGGGGTTTTTATTTTTATTTTTTGAGAGGCCGGAGTCAATTCAAGGAGACCGCACTTCTTTTTCGGAGGCCTCGGCCTTGGAGCAGAGGGGCCCGTCGAGGACGACCTCCGGCTTCCCGCCGCGTTCCGCCCCGGCCCCGGCCCCGGCCCCGGCCCCGGGGCACCCGGGAGCCCAGAGCCTGGGGACCAGGGCGCTCGGGCGGAGTCACCGGGCCAGGGCAGCGAGAGCCCAGGGCGGGGCCGACGCTGACCGCAGAGGGCGCCTTGCGGCTGAGCCTCAGGTGTTCCCAGCCCCCCGTGCGCTTCCCCCTCGCCTGTGCTTTCTGCCCTTGGGTTCCCTTGGTGACCAGACGCGAGGCGCTGACGTGCTTTTCTGCGTGGCTCCCTGTTTCACGCGTGACGTCCACAGACCAGGGCATCTGCCAGGCCTCTGCTTGCCTTCCCAGCCTTCCCAGCCTTCCGGAAGTCACCTTCCCCTCTTGCGGGGGGTCCTGGGGGAACTGTCAGGCCGGTGCCCCCTTATTCTCTGGCCCAGGATTGAGCAGGGTGTGTGGGCCGCCCAGGCGGACTCTCTCCCTGGACTTGATTGATTGCCTGGTTCATTTATTCATTTGTTATCAGCAAAAGAACAGCATTTATTCCTGTTTCATTTTTTTTTAATCGCGACAGGATGCCATGATGATGCCGGACGTGACAACCAGCGCAGATTTTAAGCGTGTGGCACGATGGCTTCGGACAAGCGCACGCACGCGTGTGACCGCCGCGGCGACCCCCCACCCTGGGGAGTCCCTTGGCTCCTTGGCAGGGGCTCCCGGTAGCAGAGGCGCCTCGGTCACAGCGGCCGACCTGGCCCGCCCTGGAACCTCCTACAGATGGGGCCGCGCAGGGAGCGTTTTGGGGGCTGGGCTCTCTCACTGGAGATCCCCGAGGTCCCCCCACGCTGTGCCAAGTGACCCATTCCTCTGGTGGCTGGGCCGGCAGAGCTCTGCTGTGTGGAGAGGCCACCAGTGTGTCCCCTGAGACCGGAGCCTGGCCGGCGGGGACAGCGGGAGGGAGGCTGCGGCTCGTCCCTGGGCTCCGTCTGTGCCGGGCGGCCCCTCCTCCCTGTCGGAATGCCTCGCACCTTTCCAGAAATCTTATTTGTGTCTGAAGTTGGCTGGAGCCTGTTCCTGCCGTGTGCCGTGGTCCTGTGAGGTGCATCTGCTCCTGCCCTGCTCCAGAGAGCGTGCCCGCCTCGCCTTGCAGCCCTGGGGGGAGCCCTGAGCCCCCCGGAGACTGGGGGCCGTCCGCGCCCGGCCCTGCCCCCCGACGCTGCCACGGCACCCCCGGCTCCGCCGGGCTCCCCTTCGAGCACATCCGTCCGTCCGGGGGAGGGCTCTCCGCCCCGTTGGGCAGGCCGAGGTGCCCTCTCGCCCCGTCCCAGCGCCCACCCCGGGAGGGGCCGTGGCTGTGGGCTTGCTCGCTTGCGACTGCGCCGGGCTCACCGGCCAGCTCACTGCCCTGGCCCGCGGTGCGCGGGCCGGCCCCTGGTAGGTGTTCAACAAGCACAGCTGAATGGGTGACTCCGTGGAAAAGAATGAATGAGAATCCGGGGCGGGGTGGGCGCCGCACACTTCAGTCTGGCACTTCGGAGCCCTGATCCCTTTCCAAATGGGGAAACCAGATCCTGCCGCGTGTGCGGCTCCGGGCAGGAGGCAGGCGACCCCCGTCGGCTTGTCACGGGTCCCCGATGGCCCCGGCCCCCTGCCCCCGCCCCTCAGCTCTGGCTCAGACCCGGCCCCCGCCCCCAGCCCCAGCCCCGGCTCCCAGCAGGAGCAGCGACCGCGTGGGGAGGAAATGCGATTAGATGCCAGGTGTTAGCAGGGAGCTCTCTGGAGCCGTAAACCCTGCTCAGAAGCAGGAAAACATTCCACAGTTGGTTTTGTGCATGAGTGTGTGTGTGTGTGTTTTGCAGCTGTGAACGGCAGGGCCGGGCCCGCAAGCTCGGGACGGACGGGAGCAGGAGAGGGGGAGGCGGCGGAGGAAGGCCAGAGCGGCTGCACATGTGTTTGGGTGATTAAGGGGGAAGGGGCTTGGAGGGACCGCCCCGGAGCAGGGAGACAGGTGGCCGGGCCTGGGGCGGCCCAGGAGCCCCCGCAGACAGGCCGGGCCGCGAGCTGCCGTTGGAGGTGGGAAGCGGAGTGCAGAACCGGCGGGGGGGGGGCGGCCTGTGTGTGACTCCCCTCGGAGACCCGCCGCGTGGAGACAGCCCAGCTGGCCGGGGGAGCGGCGTCCGGCTCGGACCAGGACTGGAATGACCCTTGGCTCTTCCTGGAGCAGGGGAGCGATTGGCCGGGGGAGCTGGGAGGGGGAGACCGAGTGGAAGAGACAGGCCAGCTGCTTTCGGGGGGGGCGCTGCCTCTGGAGGCACAGGGTGGGGGGCCGGGGCCGGGCCGGGCGGGCGCAGAGCCGGTGGGACGTGAGCTGGCGCCCCGGTGCTCCCAGTCCGCCTGCAGCCTCCGCCTGCCAGCGGCCGCCGCCGGCCCCGCCCCCACCCCGCCTCACCTGCTCCCGCCTGGGCCAAAGCAGGCCCCACAGGCGGCTCGCCCGCCTCCGGCCGGGGCTCCCCCACTGAGCCGGCCTCCCCTGCTCCGTCCGGTGCGGCCCTCCGCCTCCCCGGACCCCCGATGGGCCGTGCCCCCCCTTCTCCTAACCCCACGGCCCGTGTGGGCCTTGAAAACCGCTTACACACACAGACATGTGTTCGGCGCTGGCCGTGTGCAGGCTCCGTGCCGAGCCCTCTTCCTACTCTGTCCTGCAGGCCCTGTCAGCAGCCAGCGGCAGGGCAGGTCCCCCGCTCTCCCCGTGTCACCGAGGCGGCGGCGGAGGCCCGGGAGGCGCAAAGACAGGCTCTGGGCCCCCAGGCGCGGCACAGCACCCCCCTGCGCCCCCCCAGCGTCTCAGACACAGCGGCGTGGCCTCTCCTCCCCTCCCTCCTGGCCGGCCCCGGCCCAGTCGCATTCCCACTCTGCCCAGCAGGTGGCGTCAGTCCCACTGGGACCCAGCAGGGGCCAGGCCTGGGCGTGGGGGGGGGGGCGCTGGGTGGGGCAGCCCCAGCGCGGGGAGCGGGCGGTGGGGACCCACCTGCCTGCGCCCCCTCTTCTCGCCCTCGTTGGCCGGAGCGGCCCGGTTTATAGAGGTGCTGAAATGCCTGGAATGCCTCCCGCCGCCGGGATGGGCCGGCTGCCTGTCTGCTCTGCCCGGCCCAGCACTGCCGGGCCGGCTGCTGCCTGTGCGTCCTCCAAGCCTGGACGCCGGCCCACAGCTCCGGTCGCCTCGGAGAGCAGTGGCCCTTGTGGCTGCCTGCGTCGGGGTCCCCGAAGGACCCCTGCCCCTGGTGGGTGGCCGTCTGGGCTTTGATGCTCCGTAGCTTCTTCCTCGGGGTCCCCGGCCTGGGCTGCCACCCGGGGCCTTTGCTCTGCGCATGGGACAGGCGTGCCTGTGCGTCTGCAACGGCCTTGTGACAGCCATCGTGTGTTGTCTTCAACCACCGGCTGGACACCCGCAGCGGAAGCCGCCCCCAGCTCCGGAGCACCCGCCCCGCCCCGGCCCGGCCCTGCCGCCTGAGCCCGTGCCCTCGTGCAGTCAGGGACTCGCCCGTCCCTGCCACGGTGGGCCGCTGCGGGCGCGGCTCCGGGGCGCGACATCCGCCCTAAGGGTCGGTTCGGAGACCCTTGGGGGGCGCCCTCCCGGCGCCATGGGGGTCCCGTCATCTGGAGGGCGGCCTCCCCCCACCCCATTCATGGAGGAGGGGCTGCCCCGGGGCCCCGGGGGCCGGGCAAGAGCGGGGCCGGCGCGCAGGCTCGGCCGGCACGTTTCCACCCGCGCCGGCGTCGTGGCTGCTGGGGGTTGCCGTTCCCGGACTCCGATGCCCCGGTGCCGAGGGGCTGAGGCAGAGAGGAAACAGAGCTCCTGGGGACCCACCCTGTCCTGGGCGGCCGGTACAGAACTGGGGGACCCTCGTGGGCAGAGACCGGCCTGCCGGCTTCCGCAGGTTTGCTGGGAAGACACCAAGCCCTCGTGCCACTGCAGCACCTGGCCGGCCGGCCGGCCACCTGGGCAGCTCTGGGTCCGCACCGACGCAGCCCTGGCAGCCCGCAGTCCCCTCCCGGGGGCACCTCGTCCCTGCAGCTCCTGCAGCAAGCGCGCGTCCCAGCCACGCCAGGGCTTCTCACGGTCCCTCCTTGCTCTAGATTTGGGGGTGCAAGAGCCTCTTTCTTGTGGGTTCTGAGACAAGAGTGGCCTAACCCTCCCCCTGCTCAGTCCCTGCACTTGAACTTCAGGCCGAACTGGGCTCCTGGCCGAGGCCGCAGGGCAGGGAGGGAAGAAGAGGTCTGTTTCTGGCCCCGCTCCCACCGCGAGGTCTGCCAGGGGTTCTCCCCCAGGGTCCAGCCCCTGGGCCCAGGCTGGGCGTCGTGGGGAGCAGTGGGCTGCTGGGGCCACCGTCGCGGGGTGCCGGGCCCTCTTCCGGGCCTGGCTGAACGGTTCCCTGGGGGCCCAGTCTCTGTCGGGTGCAAGCGCTCGGCTGTCCCGGCCTGGCCCGCAGCCAAGAGGGGCACGGGCAGGCCATCGGGAGCCACAGGAGCGGCAGGCTCCCCTCTGGACGTGACCGCCGGCTTCTGCCTGTGTGGGGAGGTCCACCTGCCACAGGCTCTGGGCCACGCCCGGGGTCTCCTGAGCTCTGCTCTGGGCAGGACAGGGCTGGCCGGGCCATGGCCCACCGTGCCCCTCCCCCCTGCCCCGAGCTTGCCTCTGTACCCCACCTGCCTTTCCCTTGCCCCCTCCACTGCCTGCACCCACGTGCCCGTTTTCCTGTTTCCCGGACCCTCTTCAGACGTCCGGGGAGCTCAGGGGGAGAACCAATCTGCTTCTCACAAAGCAGGTGCCCACAGCGTCCCTTCCCCACCCAGGGCCCGGCGGCGACTGTGTGGGCAGCGGATGGGGCCGCCCACGGCCACAGGGAGCTCTGCCTGGGGAGAGCGGGGACACAGCCCGCCCTCAGCCCCGAAGGACAAGGAGTCTTGGCCCAGGGAGCTGCCCGACACCCCCTCTTTGTTTATTGAGCACTTACTGTATGCTGTCCCCCCACTTCCCGCCCAGAGATGCTGAGGATGCTTCAAGAACCAGGAGCAGGGCCTCCTCTGGCGGTAGGGGGACCGAGCCACGGCTCGGGGAAGGTGGTCCCGGCCCAGTGCGAGCAACCAAAGCACAGGACTGGGGACCTCCGGGAGGAGGTGGCCTCGGGAGGTCATCTGGGGGCACCAGGCGTGTGTGGGGGAGGGGGAGCAAAAGGAGGGCCCAGGCAGGGGGAGCAGGCGCTAGGATAGGGGCTTGGAGTCGCTCTTTCAGTGACTCGCCAGGGAGCCCGGGCCGCTTTGACCTGCGGGGGGCCGGCCGGGGCAGGGGGCAGCGGCTGTGGGGGCTCCGCTCAGCAGGCAGGCTCCCCGTTCGCAAAGCAGGACACGCTTCCTCTTTCCTCCGCATCCTCCGCTGCCCGCCGGCGCGGTTTTTATGGGCTGTCAACATTGTCTCCTTCGGGCACGAGGATACGCCCAGGACGAGTCGCCTGGGGGCCCACCTCGAGGCTCCGTGGGCCCCGGCCCCCTGGGGGACAGAGAGCGGCCCCCCGAGAACCTGCCCCACGAGGACCGAGGCTCTGCAGCCCTGCCCAACGTCGCTTCCAGAACGGGGGTTCAGGGAAAAGATTGCGGAGACTTCAGCATGGTGGCTGCGGAGTGTGAGGGGCCGCGCTGCCGTCCGGTCACCTGTGAGCCGGGTTCCCCGCCTCGGGAGGTTGGACAGCCTGCGAGCCGGGTCCCCAGGGCGCCTCCTCTCTGCAGGGCCGACAGCAGCTCCACCCCGGGCACTTGCTCCTCATCCCCCATATTCCTAGGGTTTCGGGGGCCCCGGAACCGTTCCCTGGCTCCCAGTGTCTCCCCTGAAAACCCCAGGCCACCAGTGGCTCAAGCAGCCGTCCAAGCTCCCCGCGGGTCTGGGGTTTGGGGAACCCCTGGTGGCACTTGGGACGGGGGAGCCCAGCAGGCTCCTGGAGGCAGAGTAGGGGACAGGGTGGGGGGTGGGGGGAGGCAGCAGGCCCAGGGCCTCGCACCCGCACGCGGTCACCAAGCAGGGGGTGGTGGGTGGCAGACCTGCCTCCCAGACACCTTCTGGTCGGCGGTCAGGCCCCTCCCCAGTTAGTCGCCCTGGCAGGACAGGGAGCCCAGGCTCAGGGCCCTGCGCGGGGCTCGGGGGAAGGGCAGGGCAGGGGCTTCCAGAGAGCGAGCACTCCCCGCCGCGCGCTCCGCGGAGCCTGCGCTGCCGCACGCCGGCCCGGGGGGCAGTGTGGGCCTGGGTGCTCGCCTGGCTTCCGCGGCCCGCCCAGGGGCCCTGGGGAGGGACAGGGTGACTAAGCCCCGCCCCCCGGGGCCTGGGGGGAGGTGGTGACTGACAACGCCCCCCAACAGAGAGGAGGCACGCAGCAAGAGCGCCGGGCTCCCTGGGGCGCCCCTTGCCAGGCGTGGGGCCTGGGGCGTCGCTCAATCTTGGAGCCTCAGTCCCTGCCTCTGTGAAATGGGTTGACAAAGCGTTGGCCTGATGGGGAGGCGCAGCGCAGGGAGGCGGGCGGCGCCGTTTCGCTGTTGCCGCGGCTGCCCTACCCCCTCCCCGGTCGCTGCTGCTGGCGGCCAGGACGCGCAGGGAGATGTTTCCCAGGCTGGTAAGGAGGCTGCTGAAGGAGACCGGCCCACTCCCCTCGGGCAGGGGCACAGCGGGACGGAGGGGGTCCCAGGGGCCACGGTGGCGCCGAGGCAGGGGGACGGCTGAAGTGGCTCTGCGGCCTGGCCGTGGACTGCCTGGCCGTCACCCCCGCCCCCACCATTTGGAGGTGCCTCTGTGTTCCCGGAGGCGGGCCTGGGGGGGCCTGGCGCTCAGGTGGGTGGTCCCGGCCTTGCCTCGGGGCAGCCTCGCCGAGTCTGGGGTCTGCGGGGCTTCCGGGGGCCAGAGAGCGGGGACCAGAGAGCGGCGGCCGCTCCGCGGGGCTCCGCGCTCTGACTCAGCAGGAACGCAGGCCTGGAGCTGGTGCCGGGCCTGCCCGGGGCTGCCCAGCTGGCTCGGGCCCAGCCAGGCCACTGTGCCCCGCCAAACGAGTGTCGAACATCTGCACGGCCCCGCGCCTCCCCCCGCCCGCCTTGGGCATATTTGCCATCTGGTCAGCGGGCCGTGGCCTCTCCTGTCGCTTCCCTGGAGCCCTTGACGGAGCCCTCCAGGGTCTCCCTCAGCCCCTCCCTCTGCAGAGTCCTCTGCTTCTCAGGAGACCCCTCCGGAGCCGGCCTGGGGGGCCTCAGGGCGCGGCCTCCCCTCGGGACCTCAGTCTTCCCATCTGTAAAGCGGAGCTATCAGACCGCACGCATCAGACAGCCCGGACTCCGTTCTCGGGGGTGTGTGAGCCCAGGCCCCTCTGGGGGCAGAAACCGTCAGGCCTCGACCAGCCCTCCCTCCGCTGTGACCCCAGGCCAGAGGCCGCTCCGCCCGGACACCCGGGCGCGCCACCCCGAGCCTGGACCCGGGAAGGCGGCCTCCCTGCTCACCGCTCCGGGGCCGAGCCGCCGTCAGCAGGCAGCTGGGCCGGCCTGGCCGGGCTCCAGAGGCGCGGAGCGGGTTAAAGTGTGCGCCAGGCCGGCGGCGGCGGGCGGGGGAGCAGCCTGGTGGGAAGTGTGAGATCCTCCCAGTCTGCCTGACAGCTATAAAGGCGGCCGCGCCGCGGAGCCGCCACTGGGCTGTGCGCCTCTCTGGGAACCCCCTCTCGTGGGTGCTCTTTGAAGTGGAGGAGGGCGGGAGCCGGAGGAAGGGGAGAGGCAGCGCCCGCAGCCCTCTGCACGCCCAGCGCCCCTGCACCCGCACCTGGCGCCGCCCGCCCGCCCGCGGCCGCTCAGCCCCTCTCTCCAGGAGGACAACCTGCTGAGCCGGGGCAGGTAGGTCAGCTCCGGCCGCCCCGCCTCCCACCGCAGCCCTCCCGGGGAGTGACAGGCAGCCCTGAGGCGGAGAGCATCCCCCAGCCCCCGGGGCGTGTTATGTAACAGGAGGAGGGCCTGAGGGGGGGTGCGGACCCCCGGAGCACGTTGAGGGTGGCCCTGGGCTTCCAGCCTCGGATGCCTGGAGCTCTCCTTTGCGCGGCGAACCTCTCCCGCTGGCCGGTGGCTGTTCTTGGACCCCAGGGAGGCTGGATCCCGCATGCGCCGGGCCTGGCCTGCAGCCAGCGGTGTCTGGGCCTTAATGAAAACCAAGTGTGAGGCCGGCTCAGCACCTGTCTTCAGCCCGCGGGCAGGCGCTGGAGGCCAGTTAGCCAATGGGACCTCGGAGGGGCCCTGCTCGCCCGAGGCCGGGGGGCGCAGCGGGGGCCTGTGGGGGAGGGGTGCAGGCGGGCGGGGAGGGCGGCCGGCAGCTGGCGAGGTGGGGGTCTCGGGACCCCGGCTCTGGTCTCTGGGGCGCGTTGCTGTCTTGCCCGCAGCAGAGATGGTCTAGGGTGCGAGGGCGGAGCTGGCGCGGCGCCCGCAGATCCGCAGGTGCTCGGGCCGCAAGGAAGTGGGGGTGCTGGGGGGCGGAGCTGGAGGGGCTGGCTTCAGGACTGGCAGGCGGTGGGGGGGTCTTGCACACTGCCTCCCCGGCATGGGGCGGCGCGGGGATGGGTCCCAGAGTCTGCACGGGACTCAGGGGGGCTAGCCTGCCGCTGGCTCCCCTCCCTGGGCTCCGGGCTCCAGGGGAATGGGCTCGGTGGCTGCTGAAACCCCCTCTCCAACCTGCCGGCAAGTGACCCGAGACAAACTCTAGACAGAGGCCACTAAAGCCCCCCGCCCCGTCGCCCCCAACCCTCCCTTGGGGGGGCGGGTGTCCACACCAAGGAAGCAGACGGGGAGGCTGAGGGCCTGGCCCGCGGGAGGCTCCCGGGAGGGAGGCCAAGTGTCGCTGGGGGCCGGGGTACTGACTTCTTGAGAAGGAGGCCGTCCCGTGGCTTGGGGCCTTGCTGCTCGGCCCTGCAGGGGCACAGGTGCCGAGCTCTACCCAGCCCGAGGTCCCCGGGGGGGGGGGCAGGGGAGGCGTGGCCAGGGAGGGGAAGGACTGACGGAGCCCCGGCCTCGTGGACCCCCATCCCCGGGCAGCCGTTCTCCCCCGGCCGGCACGCCCCAGCAGGTGAAGCCCGAGGTGCTCCAGCTGGGCCGAGTCTGCGGGCCGAGGCGATGGACCGCGTCGGGGCCCCGGCTCCACCTCCAAGGAGGCAGCCAGGGCCCGCAGGTGTTCCCGGGAGCTCAGGTGTCCGGGGCAGAGCAGGACACGTGACCCCGAGTGCCCTCCGCCGCGGGGGGGGCGGGGTGCTGGCTGGGTGTGCACGGCGCCCTCATGTGTCTCCTGCCTGCGGCAGGCAGCTCCCAGCAGGGTCTCTGGGCGGCCGCTGCCGACCGATCCCAGGTGACCCTGCGGCCCCGAGGGCTTTGCCCTGGAGTGGACCCCGCTCGCCTGACAGAGGAAGAGGGTCTGGCCTGGCGGTGACAGCGGCCTTGCTTCCTAGGATGGACGGCAGACGGTGGCCTTCCCGCTGGGCCTGGCCTCTGCTAGCAGTGGCACTGGCGGCCGGGGGTGTGGCGTCCAGTGGGGCCACGGTGAGTGGGGAGCGCGGCCCCTCACGCCGAGGGGCTGATGCCGGGGGCTGCTGGCCCTCAGCTGCCGGCAGCATGCGTTACAGGGGGCCTGACCGGCTCCTGAGCGGGGGTGGGGGGCGTGGGGGGGCTCTGGTCACTGGGGGGCCCTCGCTGGGGTCGGACGGGGTGAGGGCGAGCGCCTCCCTTCAGAGAGACGTCCGGGAGCGGGCGCGCCGCCGGGCGGCGGGGGTGGGTGGGGTGCGGTGACCTGCGGAACCGGGGCCGGCCCTGGGCTGCTCGGGAGGAAGAAGCCGGCGTGTTAGCTGTGTCCTTAGGACCCTGCTGAGTGCCTGGGACGGGAAGGACCTGGGCACACGCCTCCCCGGGAACCCCTCCGAGACCACCCCAGGAACCGGCCCCGCGGCCCACAGCCGTGCTGCGGGGGGCGGGGCGGGGGGCCTCACTGCCCGCGGGGCCTCTCCTCCAGGACAACAGCCCCACAGCCAACAGCCTGGAGGGGGGCCCGGACGCCACGGCCTCCTGGTGGGGGGAGTGGACCAAGTGGACGGCGTGCTCCCGCAGCTGCGGTGCCGGGGTGACGTCCCAGGAGCGGCACTGCCTGCAGCAGAGGTACGGGGCTGTGGCGGCGGCGGGGGCTCGGGCTCCTCACTGGTCTCCGTCAGGGACGCGGCTCCCCAGGGGTGCCGGCCGGGGGCGTCCTGGGTCGCCCTGCTCCAGGGCCCGGGGACAGGCCTCTCGCGAGAAAGTGGGTCCGCCTCTAAGGCTCTGTCGGTGAGGGGCGAGGCCCCCCGCCTTCTCGCCGGAGGCCTGAGGGGGGTCACCTCGTGGAAGAGCCCAGGGCGCAGCGGCTGCTGCTGGGCGGACCTGGGTTCAAATCTGACCCTCTGCCCCTTCCCGGCTGGGTGGCCTGGGGCAAGTCTCAGAACCTCTCTGGGCATCAGCTTCCCCCTCCGTGGCGTGGGGAGCATGCACGAGCCCCCGACATCCCTGAGGACACACGCGTGCGTCAACCTCCGCGCAGGGCTGGTGTGCGGTCCCTGTCGTTATTATTGTCATTAATTCTGGGTACGAAGACCCTGTGTGAGGTGACGGGGATATAGAGGTGACCCCGATGTCGCCCTCCCCCAGGAAGGGGGTGGGAAACCCCCTGCCACGGCTCGAATCCCTGTGTGGTGGGAAGAGCTCTGGGGGCATGGTGGGGCGGAGCCGGGGGCCAGGCCCCTTGGTCAGAGCGACCAGGAGAAGCCTGGGGGCCGGCCGGGGGCGGGGGCCGCATTGGGGCTGCAGCAGGCGGCTCCTGGCACCTGTGCAGAGCCCATGTCTCCCCACCAGGAGGACGTCAGTCGCGGGCGCCGGGAACAGGACCTGCACGGGCACGTCCAAGCGGTACCAGCTGTGCCGAGTGCAGGTGAGGTCCCCCCCCCCCCCCAGGCAGGGGCCGCTGTCCTCTTGGACACTCAGCCCCGGGCCTGCCCCGTACGTGCTGTGTGGAAGGGCCCTGGGTGAGGGTGCCCTCCCACATCCAGTCAGGGGGGGCGCCCACCGTGCACTCTGGCACCCGCAGGGGCCGAAGGACGCGCTTCTGCTGGCAGAGCCTGGCGCTCCGGGGGGCGTGTCTCTGGTCGAAGCCCCCAGCTGCTCGCAGGCCCTGCACCAGGAGCTCGCGGGGGGGACGGACAGTCACCAGGCGCCACATCACCATGCGTGAAGCGCGCAGCCCCCCAGAGGCCCGGGCGGAGCTGGGGAGGCAGGAAGATGGCAGGATCCTGCCCGGAGCTCGGGCCGGGCCGGGCCAGCGTGCGAGGGGGCTGAGGGGCCGCAGCCGCCCTTCTGCCCGTCCTCACTGCGTCCGGAAGGCCGGCGAGGCGAGCGCGTGGAGAGGCCCCACGGGCTGCCCCCGCCCAGGCCTACGGGAACTCGTGCCTCTGTGGGCCCAGCCCCCCCGTGCTTGCTTCCCAGGAGTGTCCGCCGGACGGGAGGAGCTTCCGCGAGGAGCAGTGCATCTCCTTCAACTCCCACGTGTACAACGGGCGGCGGCACCAATGGAAGCCCCTGTACCCCGGTACCAGGCCCCGGCCAGCAAGCGGGCGTGGGGGGTGGGGTGGCCCTCTCCCACCCCGTGGGTCCGCTCCTGGGGATGGCGGCGGGGGACACGCCCATCCGGTGGGCAGGCAGGTGGGCAAGGTGGCCCGTGTGGAGGGGTCTCGTGGAAGGCCACGAGCCCTCAGGCCTCTGAGCGTGGGGTAAGCTTAGGGCCGCCCGCCCGCCCGCCGGCCGGTCGGCTCTGACCTCCCGGGCGGGGGCCTGTCCCCACCCACGGGGCGGAAGAGGCCGGAGCGTGCAGAGCGGGGCCTGGGCCAGACCCCTGCCTCTTGGTTCACGTCTGCCACCGAGACCCCGGGCGAGTCCCTTGGACTCTCCAGCCTCGGCTTCCTCGTCTCGGGGTGGGGGGGGGCCCCCGGACGGGCGCAGGGGCGGCCCGAGTGCGCCCCGAGTGCGCCCCGACGCTGAGCCCCCTCCGCAGACGACTACGTGCACATCTCCAGCAAGCCCTGCGACCTGCACTGCACCACCGCGGACGGCCAGCGGCAGCTGATGGTGCCCGCCCGCGACGGCACGTCCTGCAAGCTCGCCGACCTGCGCGGGGTTTGCGTGTCTGGAAAATGTGAGGTTGTTAAACATTGTAGCCCGCGCCCCGCCGGTCTCAGCGCGCTGGCCGCCCGCCGCCCGCCGCGGGGCGGCCCCGGGGCCGGGCCTCGGCCGGTCCCAGCAGCCCCCTCCGCCTCCCTCCCTGCAGCCCATCGGCTGTGACGGGGTCCTCTTCTCCACCCACACGCTGGACAAGTGCGGCGTCTGCCAGGGGGACGGGAGCAGCTGCACCCACGTGATGGGGAACTACCGCAAGGGGAACGCCCAGCTCGGTAAGACGCCCGCCCGGGGGCCCGCGGGTGCCGTTTCCACGCTGCTGGTGTCACCGTGCCGCTCCTGCCCCTCGTGGGCCGCCGGCTCCTGCCCCTCGTGGGCCGCCGGCTCCTGCCCCTCGTGGGCCGCCGGCTCCTGCGTCTGGGCCCGGGGGCTGGGTCGAGCCCTGTTTGGCTGTGAGTGGCAAGCGCCCCTTTGTTGAGCGCCTGCTGAATACCGGGCGCTGCTGGGCACACTTGGCCTGGGGGCCCTGCAGGGAGAGGCGGGTGCTGCACAGAAAGGGGGAAACCGAGTCACAAGTCGCCTCCTCACCGCTGGCAGGTGTGAGCCTGGGCACGCAAATGCTGGGGCTCCCTGCTCTGCGGAGCCAGTGCCTCTGGCGGGGGTGGGGGGCTATCAGTTACGTCATGCAAGTGTGGGGGCCAAGACCGCTTTCTGTGGGGCCCCGCTGTAGGGGGTACGAGGAAAGGCCCCTGGGATCCCTGCCTCCCCTCACACCCTCCCACCAGACCCTGGGCAGGGGCTGGCAGAGCCGGTGTCCAGGCAGCGCATCTCTGCCTGAGCACCTACCATGCGCCAGGCACCGAGGCTGCAGGGAGTCGCGGCGCAGACAAGGTGCAGGCCCTCATGGAACCCTCAGGGCGGGGGCGGGGCTGCCACTTAAACGGTCCCCACGAACTCCCAGGGGCGCCGTGCACCTCTGGCGCGAGATAACTCGTGCACACCTTGCCGCGGCACTGCAAGGCCGGTGCCGCCACTCTTGCCGTTTGCAAGTGTGAGAACAGAGAGGTGACGACAGGAGCCTGAGGTCCCACAGCCGGCCGCGCAGAGCTGGGTCTGAACGCAGCTGCCCTGGCTCCCGGGTCCGCGGTCCTGCACGCTCACCCGCTCTCCCTCCCCGGTCAACGTGGGCGGGCCCTGCGGGGCAAGAGCCCGGGGGCTCGACCATCTCGTGAGCTGGCTGCTGCTTTAAAAACTAACGTACATAAACCCACCTTTCAATAAGCGCTACTTGGACAGAGTCCTCGTTCCCAAATCATTCCCCTGTGTCACTAGGATGCAGGCGCAATGAAAATGCCACCGCGGCAGGCGAGCCGCTGGGCCCCTCCCCCCACCCTGTCCCCAGGGAGGGCACGTTGGGAATCTGAGCTGGCCGCACGGGGGTGCTTACACCGTGGAAATGGGCCAGCTCTCCCGACGGAGCTCCCCCGCCCTCCCCGCGAAGAGCCAGGTGCTAACCGCTCAGCCGCACGCTGCTGCCCGGGGGGCCTGTGGGAGCAGCTCACTTGCGCAGGCAGGTGCCCACCGACCCGGCCACCTCTCGGGGGACACTGCCACGTGAGCGTCAACACCACAACCCTGATTTCCGAGACCCGAGGCCCTGCTGTGGCCTGGAAGGCTTTTCTGTGTGAGGGCTTTAAAGACCTCTCTCCTCTGTCTCCTCCCCGCCCCCCGCCCCCCGCCCGCCGACAGCACGTCCTTCCTCAGCCCCCCACTCCTCACGGCCTCCGGTCCCTTTGCCGGAGAGTCTCTGCGATGTCCCTCAGCGGCCTCCACCCTGGACTGGGCGCTTCGATGGCAGGCCCCAAGCTGACTTTGGCCGGAGCCTTGTCCTTTCCTATCCACATCTTGTGCGGATGAGGAAACTGAGGCCCAAGGCCCTCGGCCACCTGCTCAGGGCCACCCTGGGCATGTTCGGTAGGGCAGGACCCGGGCTGTTCGACTCCTGCGCACGTAAGGCCCCTGGGGCCCGCAGCGTCCCTCGGGAGGGGCCGGGCAGGCTCCGGAGAGCCTCACCGTGGTCTCGGTAGGAAAGAGTCAGGGCACCTGAGTGAGCCTGGGTGCTGGCCAGCCCTTCGACGGCGCCAGCAGGACCCTGGGCTTGCCGCTGTGCAGCTGGACAGGGCCCCTCCGCCCAGGAGCGCAGGAGTGTGGGCGCCGCCAGCCAGTTGCCTTTCCGACAGAGAGGCGGCAGCCGCGGCCGGACCTGCTGCTCACCTTTGTCCACCACCCCCAGGCTACTCTCTGGTGACCTACATCCCGGCTGGCGCCCGAGACATCCAGGTTGTGGAGCGGAAGAAGTCCGCCGACGTGCTGGGTACGTCTGTGGGGCCCGGCGGCTGCCTGCGTGGGCCTGTGATCGAGCCCGGGGCCCCATGTCTGGGCAGAAAAGGGTCGTTTCCTGCGGGGGGGGGCGGTGTGCACTGCAGAGGCCAGAGCTCGGCCCGGCGTGCATGTGGTGTGGGGGGGGTCACAGGGAGGTGGACACCGCAGCTGTGGAAGGACCTTGTCCTCAGAGCTGCTTGGCTGTGGCGGGAGGCGTGATGTCAGTAGTGAGTTGCCCGTCCCTGGAGGGCCTGGCAAAAGCTGGAGGTGCTTGGCGGGGGGGGGGGGGGGGGGGGCGGTCCTGGCCTCCGCGGTCGGGGAGCGGGGCCCAGAGGGACAAAGGTCGAGGCAGAGTGAGGGCCAGTCCGAGGCTGTGGGTGGCCGTGGCCCAGGTAGGGGCTGGACATGGGCCAGGGGCTCTCGAGAGAATGTTCTTGCCACTGGTTGGTCCCTGGTGGAAGCAGGGCCTCAGTAGGTGCCCTTCCACCTGAGGATGCTGGAGTGACCGGCCTGGTGGCCAAGGCCGCGAGGCCCCGTGCTGGTGGCAGTTCTGGAAAGGTGTTGGGGCGCTGGCCTGGCTGCGTGGCTTGTCTGTTCCCCGGGAGGCCGCCCAAGGCCCCGGTGGCCGAGGGGGGCAGGTGCTGACACCCGGGAGTGGCCCGGCCCTGGGAGGGGCCGGCTGGGGACCCCGGTGGGGAAGCCGTTCCCAGCGCCTGGCTCGCCTCCCTGCCTCTCACGGTGGCCCTGAGTGAGCCAGGGCTGCTGCTCAGGGGACATGCTGGAGGGGTCTGCCCGGGGTCGTCGGGCTCCAGCCCCGCACCCCGCAGGGCTGTGCCCTCCCGGCCCCAGGCTCTGCTCGCGGGAGCCGGGCCCCTGCCAGGCAGCCGCGCGGGTGCCCGCAGGGAGGCCAGGAAACGCCGCGTTCCTAGCGCCAGCTGCCAAGCGATCGTTCTGGAAACAGACGCATGGAAATATCGAGGGCGGCCTCAGACGGGGCCCTGGGAAAGCCGCAGGAAGGGAGGTCATTACTGTCCGGAAACAGGTTTTGGACGTGGGCCGGGGGTTTAACCCTGCGCGCCTACGTGGAAGCCGGGCCGCGGCGGGCGGCTCCGGCACGCTCCCGCTGCACACGGCGGCTCGGCCTCGGCCTCTGGAGACGCTGCTACGTTGCGGGTATTTTTCCAGCAGACGCGTCCTGCCAGTGCGTCTGCCTGGCAGGCACTCGGCTGCCCGGCTGTGCTGCTGCTGCGCGGCATCAGGGGCTCTGGGGCTGGGCTCCTCCCTCCTTGGGCTGGTTCCTGGACGATGCAGGGTCCGTGAGTGCGGAGCCTCCCTCCTCACTGCCCCCTGCACCCCGGCCGCACCTGGGGCCACTCCGCAGCCCCAGGGACGGCCGGCTGCCCCAGCTCATCGCTCCCACTTGGCGCAGTCGATGCCCCCAGGCCGACAGGACTCGGCTGCTGGGGCAGCCCGCACCTGCCTGCTGCCTGACCGCCTGAGGTCCTCCATCCAAGGGTCCCCCCGCTGCCGCCTCCCAGAGAGGGCGATTGAGAAAGTGCCCGGGGCCGCCCTCATCCCGTCTGGGAGGATGAGGGGCTTGGGCAAACAGTCCGTGGGGTCACGGGTCCTGGCGAGAGCAGGGGGCTGGCCAGCTGGGGTGACCGGGCAAGGCCTGCTGGGCCACTGGGGCAGCGGTCTGGGCCAGCCAGGGCAGCATCCCTCTGGGTGGATCCCAGGGGGGCACTGGGGTCCCTTCCCCGTGTCCAGGTGGGACACTGGGGGCAGTGACTGCCTGGCAGTCACACGGGGAGCCTCCGCAGAGCCTGCTGGATGGCCCCGCCCCGCCCCGCCCCGCCCACCCGGGCCAACACCCGCTGCCCGCGGGCCCCTCCCCTGGTTGCTGGCCCTCCTGCTCCAGACCGGGGGTGGGGGGGCCGGTCGGGGGGGCTCCATCCTGATGCCACTGTCCCCTCACTGCCCGGCCCCTTCAGGGGCAGCCCGGGTGACCGGACCCAACGGGCCCTGGGTCGGCCGTCTTCGGTCGTCTAGATAAGCCCTTGGTTTAGTTGAGGCCGATGGGGAAGTGCCTTCTGTGTCCTCAGCACCCGGAGTCCAGGGCCACGGGCCGGCGTGCGCGCAGCGTCTCCATCCGCCTGGCGTGGAGTTTCTCGTCCTCAGGAGGCTGGGGACCAGGGCCCGCGGCCCCCGTCCCTCGTCCTCCCTCCAGCCGGCCGGCCCGTGTGACCAGCGGCCTTCCCCTGTCAGCCCTCGCAGATGAAGCCGGCTCCTACTTCTTCAACGGCAACTTCAAGGTGGACAGCCCCAAGAACTTCAACATCGCCGGCACCGTAGTCAAGTACCGGCGGCCCATGGACGTCTACGAGACTGGCATCGAGTACATCGTGGCGCAGGGGCCCACCAACCAGGGCCTGAACGTCATGGTGCGTGGGCGCGGCGCCGCCGCCGGGGGGCGGGGTGGGCGGCGGGCCGGCTCGATGCAGGGGCGGGGCGGGCGGCAGGGGGGCGGGGCGGGGGCGGGCCGGCTCGCTGCAGGGGCACCCACGATGTGGAGCCCCGCCAGTGTCCCCGCGCAGGTTGGCAGGGCTCGCTCTGTTGCTCTCTTGTCTGTCGCGGATTCACTCCATTCATCCATTTCATTCATTCACTCACTCACTCGGGTTTTACAGCCTCCACTTTGCCTGTCGTTCACTCACGCGCTCATTGACTCGTCCCCTATTCTCTTGCTCGTCCACCTCCCGCTCTCTCACTTGCATTTTCATTCAGTCATTCACTCATTCACTCACTTGTTCATTCATTCACTCACTTGTTCATTCATTCACTCGTTCATTCATTTATTTACTTGTTCATTCATTCTTTGTTCATTAATGCACTTGTTCATTCACTCATTCACTTGTTCACTAGTCGTTCACTCGTTCATTCATTCACTCATTTCTTCCTGCTGTGTTCGCCCCTCTGGCGGCCGGGCTTAGCCGGGGGTTCTTGCAGGTCACTGGGGACAACGGGGACATGAGGATGGGGAGCAGGGCCCACTTCCCACTTGGGGGGTGGCGCCCTGTGTGGAGCGGCTCCCCCAGCTCCATGGACACTGCCGTTTTGCCGAGTCCTTAATCCTGAGGAGCCGTGCGGCTGGTGGCCGCCAGCCTGCCCCCAACACTGTCCCCGGGCGCGGACGGCGCGGTGGGGGAGGGCAGGAGACAGGCAGGGCGGGCACGCCCGGCGGGCCAGGAGCCGGCCCAGGGCTGGCGTCCGGACGTGCACTCCCCTGTGGCTCTGCGTCCCAGGCCCGAGGAAATGCAGACGTGTCACCGAGGCCAGGTGACGTCAGGTGGGCAGTTCTGATGTTCTTCAAGGCCTGGGGGCGTTCACGGAGGCTGAGGGCGGCCGTGGGGACGGAGCCCGCCCACCTGCGCTGCTGAGATGCCAGCGGCCCCCATGGCGGGTGCCCGCCACCCCACTTCACAGAGGAAGACGCCGGGCATGGGGAGGCCAGCAACCTGCCCGGTGGCCGAGCTGCAAGGGGCACCCCGTCCCTCGTGGTCAGCCTGGCGCCGGCCCAGCTGTTTAACGGCTGTGCTGGAGGGGTCTCCACTCAGGGCACCACACCCGCCCACTGGTTCGTGGCTGAGGAGCTTCCTCGGGGGCCCCAGAATCCAGTGGGGGCCAGGCGGTGCTACTTCCCCCCGAGCCACCCCGAGGCCCGCTGGCCCCACTTTGCTGCCCCGGGCTGGAGGAGCTTGCCCTGCGTGGGCTCTGTCTCGGGAGCAGCACCTGAGAGGGTCCGGGGACAGGCCTGGGCAGGGGAAGGTGTGGAGCTGCCAGGCAGGGGGCCGGAGCCTCAGCCAGTCCCCTGGGCGCCCCTCAGAGTCACCTGAGTTGAGGCCGGGGTCGTGACCCTGGAGAGGCGGGCCCCTGTGCCTGAGGAGGGGCTCCTCGCTGGGCCCGCCCCGTGCTCCGGTGGCACCATTTGCTGTGCACACGCAGCCAGCTTCCGCAGGAGAGCCCCCCATGTCCCCCGCCTGCCCCCCGCTCCCCAGAGCTCAGGTTGGTCGTGACACTGCATATAATTGTGCGGCCTGGAGGCTGAGACCGCAGCCTCGGGCTGGGCCCAGTCTCCATCCCCACCCCCGACCCCCCACCCCCGACCCCCCACCCAGGTGCCGATGCCAGAGCCGGCGACGTCAATGCAAAGCCCTCTGTTTGTGACTCAGCTGAGTCACCTCTCCCTCGTGGTGGGCGCTCCTCGCGAGCAGAGCCTGCGATACAAAGAGCTTTGCGTCTGGGGCCTGCCCCGAAGATCCGGCCACGGTGTCTTCTCCGGGCCTCCTAGCCCCAGGCCTCGAGCCTCCCCCCGCCCCCATCCCGGGCTCCTGAGCGTCCCACCAAGCAACGGACCCCTCCCGCCTCCTTCCTGGGGTCACCTGGCTTCCTGCACAGTGAGCCTGGTGACCATCGGGTACAGCCTAAGCTGCTGGCAGCACTTGGCTTCGTTGCCACGTTGGGGGCCACCCCTGAGTGGGGCTCAGCTCGTACCCGCCCCCCGACCAGGCTGACCCGCCTCTGAATCAGCCTTGGCTGCTTTCTCCTCCGCGACGGCAGCCACAGCGGAGAGTGTGCGGCTGGTGCAGGGGTCTCGGCGGTAGGAGCTGGGGTCGCCTTGCTGTGCCCCCGCCCTGCCTGAGCCCGGGGTGACGCCTCCTTCCCGTCGGTGATTGCTGCCGGCTGCCGTGGGGTTGACAGGCCTCGCGCGGTAACGTCCCCGCCGGCGGCGTGGGTCGCGGGCTGTCCCGTGGTCACAGCCCCTGCTCTGGGAGCTCCCGGTGACGGCCAGGAACTCTTTTTCCAATGACGTTTGTTTACGTGTTGCGGGTGCACGGCCTGGCTCCCGAACACCAGGGGTCCGAGTCACCACTTTCCCACAGGGGCACCGGAGGCTTCTGTGACTCCCTGACCCCACCCCGCGGACAGAGCTCCCTAGCGCAGGGTCCGCGGGGCTCTCCGCCCAGGAGGCGGGTGCACCCCAGCCCGGCCCGGCCCGGCCGCGAGCCCTCTCTGCGCAGGCTCCGCTGGAAGTGGGCGGCTTTTTATGTGGCCCAGGAGTTGGATCGGACTGACGTTCCCGGGAGGGGGACATGCTGTCATCCAAAACGCAGCTCCAGGCCGGACGGGGTGAGATGCCACAGCCCGTCCTTCACTGGCCGGGGGCGCCTAGGCCCGCTGGGCTCTGGCCCCGTGCACGTGTCGGGGGTGCCGCTGCCCGCGGCGGCCCGTCTGCTCCCCCGCCTCCCGCCACTTCCTGCCACTTCCTGCCACTTCCTGCCGCTTCCTGCCACTTCCTGCCACCGGGTCTGGTAAACGTGGTGTCCTCGATGCCGCGGACCGAGGGGTGTCTGTAGAATTCCAGGCCCTGTGTCGGGGGACGACAGGAGTGGCGGGGGGGTCACTGCGGCCCCAGGTCCGGCTGTGAACAGAAACTGCGCTCCGTCCACCTGAAAGGAGGCGGCGGCTGCGCCTCCTTACTTTCCTTTTTTTAAAATCCTCACCTGAAGACGTTATTTCATCGCCTTTAGAGAAAGGAAGGGGGGGGAGAGAGAGAGAGACATCGATCGGTCGCCTTCTCGTACGTGCCCCGGACTGGGGACCAAACCCGCAGCCTGGGTAGGTGTCCCGTCCGAGAATCGAATCTGGGGTGACGTTCCGACCCACGGAGCCTCACCGGCCGCGGCTGCTGCTGCTGCTGTCGGATGAGGACGGAAAAGGCCGCATTTGCCCGGTCGGAGGCCACGTGGGCCAACTCGCAGTCGCGGGGCTGCTCTGGAAGAACCACGCCGGGGCGCCGGCTCCGCGGGGTCCGTGGGCTCGCTGTGCCGCCCCAGGGCTGTCGAGCTCCGTGAGGGGCCCGCCCCCCAGCCCCGCATCCTCAGGTCTGTGCGTGGCCCTGTCTCTGTGCTCTCAGATGGGGGCGGGGTCAGGTGCACAGGCCTCTACGTGGCTTCCCACCCCGCGGGGCCTGCCAACGGCCAAGTATGCGCCTGGGGACTGCGGGAGCCTTGGAGCCAGGGGGCGAGCCGGGGAACGGACCCAGGCCGCTCCTGGTCACCCACAGGCTCCACCGCAGCGGGGAGACCATGGTGACGCTTCGGGTCCCTGGTTAACAGTGGCCACTCGGACCCTGGCCCCGGGAGGCCTGTCCCCTTGCCTTCTGTGCGCGCGGCCTTGTACACGGCTCTCTGCTCGCTGGGGAGGGCCGGGGGCGGGGGGAGCCGCTACCGTGGTGACTTGCCGGGCGTCCTCGGTCCTGCGGCCCCGGCTGTCCCATCGTGCGCTGCTGCTGGCTGAGACCCCGCGGCGCAGAGATTGCCACCCTCACGGGGCAGCCGCCGTCCGCTCCCCGTCGCCCGCCCGATGCCGTTTGGTCCCCTGGACTAACAAGCACCTTCCCGTCGCCCACCCCTTTGTCCCCGGGGCCCTTTGTCCTGTCCGCCGTGCCCTGAGGCCTCTGCGGTCAGGCCCCCCCGGCTGCCGCGTGTCGCGACGCCGAGTCCCGCCCTGGGACGGCATCTCCCGCCATCAGCCCCGGCCTCGGGGGACGCCCAAGCCTGTCCCCCCGTGTCCCTTGACGTGATGCGGCCCCAGTGCCCCCTGACTGGTAGGGATGGGACTTAACCCAAGTCGTCGGCTGGCGACCGAGCTCCTGAGGGAGGCCCGCGGGGCCTTGAAGGCAGAGGCCCGAACCGTCGCCTTTGGCGTGACGGGGAGGCCCAAAGATTCAGGGAAGCCTGGGGCTTCAGGTTGTAAGCGCCATGCAGAGCTGACTCTGCTGACTCCGACCCCCAGCCGCAGGCTCGGACTCGCGGCTCCAGGCGGTGCAGCGGCGGAGAGACCACGCCCTCTGCTTCTCGGGGGCCCTCCCGCCTTTCCTGCCCAGGCTGGAGGGCAGGAGAAGGTCCTCGAACACAGCCACAAGGCCCTCTCACTTGACCTTCAATTGACCTTCAAGGTCAAGGGCGATAGCCCCCCCCAGCTGTTTCTCTCCCCTGTTCCCGCCCCCGCCAGCTCCCCCTCGCTGGAGACACGGCCACCAGCTCGTTCTCAGCCCCGCTCGCTGCCGGCTGGGGCCCGGGGCTCCCACACCAGCAGCCCCAAGTCTCATGGACTCAGGCTGGAGTCCCCAGAGTGACCCTGGGGATGCTCATGGGAGGGGAGGCCGGGCTGGGACCCACTCTCGGCAGGGCCTCCACCCTCCCACAGCAGCTCTGCCACGGGACGCCCCGGGGCCTGGCCCGTGATGCCCCGACGCTGGCCGGCCGTGGGCTCCCAGGGGGCGGGGGCGGGGCGGGGGCGGGGGCGGGCGGGGCGCACCTTGATTCCCTAGGGTTTCTGGCGCATGGCGGTGACATAGGGCAGGGCTGGTTTTAGTGGCTTTGTTGCCTTTAGAAAGTCCTGTGCACACAGCGCGCCCCTCACCGCCCGAGCTGGGCCGGGCGGCCCCATGGCCCCTCCCTGGGGTGGTCCCATCGTCCCCCGTGCACCTGTACGGAAGGTGCACATAGCGCCGGACGCGGCAGCCGCGTGGACCCGGCGGGGGGACGGGGGTGGCCAAGGACCGGCTCCCATCTCCCCTCCCCCCAGGTCTGGAACCAGAACGGCAAAAGCCCATCTATCACCTTCGAGTACACGCTGCTGCAGCCGCCGGCCGCCGGCCATGCACGGCCCTTCTACTACCGCTTCCCCGAGCCCGCCTCCGAGAGCGCCGAGAGCCAGGAGCTGGACGGGCCGGGGCTGCTGGGCTTCCTCCCGCGCAACGGTTCGCTCTACGGCCAGGCCTCCTCCGAGCGGCTGGGCCTGGACAACCGGCTGTTCGGCCCCCCGGGCCCGGGGATTGAGCTGGGGCTGAGCAAGGAGACCAACGAGGTGTGCGAGCAGGCCAGCGGCAGGGCCTGCGAGGGACCCCCCAGGGGCAAGGGCTTCCGAGGTAACAGGAGGAGGGGGCTTCCTGGGGAGAGGGGCCTCGGGGAAGGGCCTTCGGTCCCCTGCAGACGGCAGAAGAGCCAGACGAGAGGTGCCGGTTCCTCGCAGGCGTCCTGGGCGGGCACAGCGCCAGGCTTCTGCCTGCGCCCCCGACACGCGTTCTCGGAGGTGGAGGAGATTGTCCCCGCTGACGGGTGGGGAGGCGGAGGCTCAGAGAGGCGAGGCGGGCCCACACCACACCGTCCGCCGGGAGGAGCTGGGAGTCCGACGCCGTGGCCCCGTCCTTGCTCACGTGGTAGAGACAGACAGCACACGGAGGGGGCAGGATCTCCGGAGGGACTGAGGGCAGCCGGGGGGTGCAGGTGCCCCCCGACCTGAGGGCTCGGAGACAGGTGGGGTCAGCCGGCTGAGGGCATGGGAGAGGCGCGGGGTCAGAGGCAGGAAGTGTGGCTGGAGGCCCGGTGAGCTCAAAGCCGGGGTCCCCGAGACCCACGCCAGCAGGCCGGCCGCTCTCCTGATGGCCACAGCTCATCAGGGCTGCTCCTGAGGGCAGGGGGTCGACCAGACTTGGGAAGGACCCCCTCACTAGCTTGGGGAGCGGGTTTTCAAGACCCTCAGCGTCTTTAAATAGAAGACGCTTGAGCGCTTGTGTCAGCGTTCAGGGGTGCGGAAATAAACGGTCACATCCTGGGGGCCCAGGACATCAGAAGTGGATCCTCCACCGGCTCTGGAGGCCAGAAGTCCACAACCGGGCGGTCAGCCAGCCGCACCCGCTCCAGAGGCTCTAAGGAGGCCCTTCCGGCCGCCCCACCCCCAGCCTCCAGGGGCCCCAGGTGTCCTTGGTTTCTGGCCACGCCCCCACAGCCTCTGCCTCTGCCCCCGCATACCCCAGTCCTCTGAGTCTGTCTATCTGTGACCTCTCCTCTTCTTCTAAGGACAGTGGCAACTGGACGGGGCCCTGTGCTAAACCCAGACGGTCTCCCCTTGAGCCCCTTCACTGACGTTGACAGAGAGCCTATTTCCAAATAAGCTCGCATTCCGAGGTCCTGGGTAGACACGAATTCTGGGGGACCCTCTTCAGCCCACTGCAGACGCCCAGCCAGCCCTCCGCAAGAGCCGCCTGTCCAGGCTGGCTGGGGGCCTCCCCTCCGCGATCCGTGTCCCCTCGCGGGGCGTGGACCTGCCTCCGGGGGCCTGCAGCCCCGGCGTTCCCCACCCCCACCCCACCCCACCCCACCCCACCCCAGGGCAGCCCTTGCCCCCGCCACGGGAGGGACTGCGTGACGCTGAGCCACCTCTCTCCCTCGCAGACGGCAACGCCACAGGGATGGCTCCCTTGGGGGACAGAGACGACCAGGGGGCCGGCGCCCGCCTCCCTGCCCCGGGCTTCCTCTCGGCCAACCTCATCTCGGGCCAGCTGCTGGGCACCGGCTCCGACTCCCAGGAGCTCACCCCCAACGAGACGGCCAACAGCATCTTCGTGCGGGGCGCCCCCGCCGAGGGCCTCTACGTGGACTCTGAGGAGCACGAGGGGGCTGGCGCTTACCCGCTCAACGGGTCCCAGCTGGAGCTGAGCAGCGACAGGGTGGCCAACGCCTCCGCGGAGGCCCCCTTCCCCAACGCCAGCGCCAGCCTCCCCGCCTCGGCCGGGAACAGGACGCACAAGGCCAGGTAGGCGGCGCGCCCCCTGCCCCGTCCCGGGGCCGCCCTGCGGGGCGCGGGGGTCTGGTGGCCCCTGCTCGCACCCCTCCCGCCCCACAGATCGGGGCGAGGTGGTCCCCAGGGTAAAGCCCAGAGCTGAGCGCCCGTGGGAGTGGAAGGAGGGGCGGGGCCCCCCCCCCCCCCGCCAGGGCGCACCCCGTCCGCAGGGCTTGGGGCTGAGCTTGCTCCAGGCCTGAGACGCTCGCCGGTCACGGCTGCCTGTGGCGCTAGAGACGGCTTCGGGGCTCAGCGGAGGTAAGCGGCGTAAGCAGGGCCGCCACGCCTGAGGGGCTGGGCCCCAATCCTCTCTGTCTGGCTGTCCCTATGCACGAGGTGGGCACTGCAGGCCGCTCCCGGGTGGGGGTGACTCAGCACCAGCCTTCACTGCGCCAGAGAGGAAGCTGGGGCAGGGTCTGGCGGGCTCCCCAGCCGGGGCGGGGCCGGTGCTGGGACCCGAATCAGGCGTCGGAGCAAGACCCTCCGCTGCCGCGGGCTGGGGCTGCCGCGGGCTGGGCTGTGAGTCCACCTGGCGTCAGGCCCCCAGAGGCAAGCATGGGGCGGGGACACCTGGACAGTCTACCTGGGGACACCTGGGCAGTCCCACCTGGGACACGTAGGCAGTCCCACCTGGGGACACCTGGACAATGGCCACTGGCAATGTCTGGACAGTCAGGGCTGGCCTTGGAGGGGCTTGAGCCAGGAGCCTCCCTGGGCAGTGGGCAGAGGAGAGCGGGGTGCCCTGAGGCCTGCCACCACCCCTGCCGGAGGACAGTCCCTGGTCTCAAGGCCCCTGAACCGAGGGCCATGCTGCAGCATCGAAGCTCACGCGGCAGCGAGGGAGACAGAAACGACCGAGCTGGGCTGGCAGCTGCAGGCGGGGTCAGAGGGGGGCGCGGGGGGGCCGGCGCCGGCTCTGGGTGGGTGCGCCTGGTCATCTGAGGGCCCCCCACAGCCCTGGACTTAAACAGCCAACATGACCGATCCTTATGCCGGGCCGAGGCCCCAGAGGTCGGGTGCCTGGGAGCTCAGGAGGCGGGCTTTGCAGGAAGGTTTGGGGCTCGCCTGCCCGCCGTGAGCCCACGGGGTTTGGGGGGCACCTGCCCGCCTCGCAAGCTGCTGCCTGGAGCCCCAGCTCCTGCAGCACAGCTGGAGCCTCAGGGCTGAGGGTGTGTTGGGGACACTTCTCTCAGGTCTGGGTGGAAGTTTTCTTTGCAAACATGGACACAGGGGAGGCTCAGGGGTCCCACCAGCCGTCCAGGCCTCTGTGCCCCGGCAGGGCCCAGAAGCTTTCAGGGCGCAGGGCCTTGGGGTGTGTAGGGCCGGTGCTGGAAGAACGTGACAGGCTCTGCTCCGGGCGCCGGCATCGGAGTCTGAGAAGGTGGCCTACGGACCGAGGGTGGACCAGTTACTTAGGGCTCGGAGCCTGGTTCCCGAGTCCTCATGGCCCTTCCTACCCCGGGGCTGTGGTTCCGTCCCTGACACCTGTAGAAGGACCTTGCACACAACCATCAGCAGCACATCCAGCCTCCGGGGGGGGAGAGGGGGCGTCCAGGACTAGCACCTGAGGCCTGAGCGGCCACCTCAACTCCGCATTCCATGCGACGCAAACGTGGCTCGGACTCTCTCTGGGCCTGTTTCCCCCTCCAGAAGACGCCCCAGGGCTTGGCAGCTCCAGCGGCCAGCACCCCCAGGCCAGGTCCGGCCCTAGCTTTTGGGTCCTTGAGCCACACCTCCGAGTCTGTCCTGCCCCATCCCAGTTGAATCTTACCCCACCCCCTCAGCCCCGCCGAGGCATTTGGGGTTTCCAGGGCCTGTGGCGGGGGGGTGGGGGTGGGAGGGCGAACCAACACAATCGATTGTCAGCTCTTAGAAAGGCCCCAAGGTGGGGAGATGGGGCGGCTCCCAGCCTGGGCCATCAAAGGATGCTGAGGCCGAAGATGGTCTTTTAAGATAAAGGGCAGAGGGCGGGGGCAGGGAAACCGCCCGGCCGGCTAAAATAGCCCGTCTGGGTGAGCTGTCCAAACACAGGAAGTCGCGTCTGCTCCCGAGGGAGGGTGAAATCAAAGGGGCAGCCGGAAAGGAGAGGTTATTTTCATCTCCCCAGGACGGCCTCCAGCAACCCAGGGAGGCCGTCCCCAGTCTCCAGACGTGTCGCGGGGCCTGGGCGTCTGCCGCGCGGTCTGCCGGGGAGCGGAGCAGGCAGAGCGTCTGGGGTCACGTATGAACAAGCACCACCCGCCGGAGCCCCGCCTGCCCGGGCGCGTGAGCCTGCGGCCACGGGGCCGCGGGGCCACGGGGGCATGGGGGCAGTGTCCGCGCCGGGCGCAGCCGCCCACCAGAGCCGGGCCGCTCTGCCTCCCAAGGCTGTGGGGCCCCGTCGGCCCTTCAGACGGAGGCGGCGGGCAGCAGGCGGCGGGCGGGGGTCCAGCCATTTCCCGGTGTTCCCTTCCCAGTGCTGCTTCTAGGAACGGGACCTGCCTCGCTGCACAGACGCCCGCGGGGTTTTCGGGGAGCTGCGCAGGCCCCGGGTGGCGTGTGCCCGACGTGCGCAGGCAGCCCCTCGGGGAGTGCCCTCCGTGCTGAGACTCCGGAGGGTCGCTGCGCACGGGCCCCTCTGCCCGGTCAGGGATGAGTCACGCCGCGGCTGGCCCGCGCTGTGTAATTAGATAAAGCTGGCCCACGCGCCCGCGCGGGGGGAGGGGCCTGGGCGCCACCGTCCTGCGTTGGCTTGGGCTCTGGGGGGGATTTAAGGCTGCTGGCAGGAGGCTGGGGGGACCCCGTGTCGGGGAGCCGTCTTCCGGGGTCTTCCAGGCCCAGAGGCCTTGCTCACTGGAGTGGGTGGTCTCTCAGGTCTCCCGGGGTCCTTTGTTCTCAGGTGACAGGGTGGGGGGTACGTGTGAAAGTTTTCTCAGCTTTTTCTTTTACTTGTCAAGCACAGTGGACATTCAGTGTGATTTCGTACTGGCTTCAGGCGCGCGCACAGCGGTTAGACAGCCATAGCTTTTACAGAGAGACCCCGGTGTCTCTGGCACCCGCCTGGACCCACGCACATCGGCCACACTCGTAGTAGTGGCTGTGAGTCTCGTGCTGGACCTCGCGTCCCTGGGTTCCTCTCACTTTTAAGGGGGGTAGCGGGGGGACCCTCCCTTCCCCGGGGAGTGTGGGAAAGGGCTGGGCCGGCCCCTGGTGTGCAGCCGCCGGGGGAGGGGTCCGGCCCCCCGCCCACCCCGCTCACCCAGCGCCTGTCGCCCCCCCCGGCCCCCTCCCTTCCCGGCCCCTCCTGCCTCGGGCCGCCCAGAAGCAAACTGTCACAGCCTTTCTCCCCCACTCGTGAAACCCCAAAGGCTGGAATCCCCACCCAGGTCTTGATTGCAGAATGGACTAGAGGGTCTGTCAGAAAGCGTGTCCTGCCACCGGCTCAGAGCCTGTCAGGGGGCCCCCGGGAAAGGCGCGTGGATGCACCCACGTTTCACGCCCGGGGACTTCTACCTGCTCTCCCCGTCAGCCAGCCCTCGGGGCCCCGGGGAGGGGAGCCGGGGAGGTCGAGGCCGGGACGGTGTGTGTCAGCTAGGCCTGCGCGCCCTGTGCCCATCCGTGGCTCGGCGGGTGGCGGGGCTCCGCCCGCATCCTCCCGGAGCGGGGTGTTCTGGGAGCCACTGCCGCGCCCCTCCCCCACCGCCGCGTCCCCAACGAGCCTGCACAGCGGATACTGAGGTTGGGCCCAGCACACCCACTGGTTCAAAGAAGCAAACAGTCCTAACAATAGTTGGCTCCGGCCGCCCGCGTTCCGGCCAAGAGCCCCGGCTGGTTGCTGGCGGGAAGGCTGCGTGCCTTTCTCCCTGCTGAGCAGCGAGCAGCGTCCCGGACCCGGGCAGGGGCGCCCGGGGGGACGCGGCCCCGCCCCCGCCTGCGCGGAACTTTTCTATTTTGATCATTGAACGCGAACAGCTAGCGTCCCCTTTCCATCAGGACCCTGGCGAGGGAGGCCGCAGGGGAGAACGCTGGCACGGTCTCAGCCTCTGACGTGCCTTCCGCTGTCCCTCTGCGGGGAAGGCGGGGTGGGGGGGGAGGAACCCGTTTCAGGTTCTAGGAGGTGACAGCGAGAAGCCGGCGGGTGTTGTGCGGAGGGGGTGGCTCCGCGCTGGTTTGCCCCCACACTCCACCCTGCCCCCGAAGCAGCTGTGATGAGCCCCCGGGAAGGACGCTTGGACCGTCAGTCACTGAGACAGGCCACGTCCCTTCCGCCCTAATCCGCGCCGCCCCGTCCTAGACAGCGGGCCTCTTACCCTAACAACAGGGGGCGCTGCCTGGGGCCCTGAGCATGTGCGCTGTCACGTCAAAGCCCCGCCAGCCCCGCGGGCAAGGATGCACCCGCCGAGGGCGCCACGGCTCTCACCCCCTTCTCCGCTTGACCTCGCTTTCAGGAGCAGGCCCAAGGCGCGCAAGCAGGGTATGAGCCCGGCAGACATGTACCGGTGGAAGCTGTCCTCGCACGAGCCCTGCAGTGCCACATGCACCACAGGTACCGCCGCCGCCGGCTCGGAGCCCCCCGCCGCCCGCAGGGGCCTGTCCGCTGCTGGCGGCCTGGGAAGCAGTGGGGCGTGACGGGGTGGCGGTGCCCTGCGGGCCGTGGTTGGTCCCAGGCGTTAGGCGGGTCCTCCCAAATGCTCCTCATCCACTGTCACTCGTGTCCTGTCTTGTCAGAGCAAATGTCCTTCTGGTGCAAAGGAAGGAGTTTCAGGTGCGAGGAGTTCGCTGTTGCTGACAGCGAGCACGGCACGGGGCGGGGGGAGTCGCCGTAGGGTCCCAGATGGGTCGGGGTCCTCCGACCTCCTCCTCCGGCTCCTGCGAGGGCAGCGGGAGGGGCCCTGAGGCCCTCGGTGGCACCTGGCAGGTAGACACACGTAGCTAGTACGTGTTGAGCTGGGACTTGAAGCCATGTCTGTCTGCTCATGTGGCCGGCCACCAGCAGCCTGAGGTCCTGGCCGCGGCCACCAGGGGCCAGGCTCCCTTGGCCACCCCCGGGGCTGCCGCGGGGTCCGAGCCAGCAGCCGGGCGCAGCGGGCATGGCAAGGAGACCCGAGCGCTGCCCCTTCTGTGCCTGGGGCTTCGTGGCTGGGCGTGGACACGCCTGGGCTGCCCCCAAACGGTCAGCAGCTCGTGAGCCTGCCCTGGCGCCGCCTGCCGTGGGCGGGCCTGCCGCCTCTGGCCAGCGAGGAGGATGAGGCCAGATGCCACCTGCCCCGGGCCGCCTGTGGTCCGGGGCAGGCCCCACTCCTGCAGCCCAGGCTGCCTCAGTCCTTGCCGAGAGGGCGCACAGAGGGCTTGTAGGTCCCCGACACAGCTCGCTGGTCCCCAGGCTCAGCCAGGACAGAGCAACCTCCTCTTCTCCTTTAGACGCCCCGCGGTGGTAGCGCCGCGGGTGAGCCGGTGCACGCTCTCACCTTGAGTCCCCCCAGTGAGTCCACCGTCCCGCGGCCTCCCCGGGACTCGGGGGTGAGGAGGTGGGGCCGGGGGCCCCGAGCTTCACGCCTCCATTCCCTGGTTGCTCACCTAAAGGAGGGGCTCCCTGTCTACGAAGGTTCGAGAAGTGCCCTGTTCAAGACAGGTCACGAAGACGGCGTCCACGAAAGTGGGGCTCTGACCACCCCCCCCGTGTCTCTGGGGGGTTCCCATTTGGGGGGCAAGTTAGCCGAGGCCTGGAAAGTCTGGCAGCAGTCACGTCACTGCACGGGACGGACCGGGTTCCGGTCTGTCTTGGTCAGGACCCGGCGGGGCCCCAGGCCCGGGCCTCCCCGGGCCCCTGAGCTGGTGTCCGGGGCCTGGCCCTTCCCGGCAGGCCTGGCCAGGGCGCTGGCCTCCCCCGCAGGGAGGGCTGCCGACTGCACAGCCCCGGGCCGGCAGAGGGGCCGGTGCCTGCGGCCTGGCTCGCCCTTCACGGAAAAAGGAAAGAATCCCCGGCGGGCTGCTTCCCAGGCTGTTCCGTTCCATCCAGGGCTGGGGCGCAGAGGGGCCGGTGCCGCTGGCCGGTGGCGCGCACCGCAGCTGCAGGGACGGCGGAGCGAGGGGCCGGAGCTCTCCGCTTACGGGGATGCCGATTTCCCCTGGGGACCGGCCCCCCGCAGGGAGGGTCCCATCTCTGCATCGGCCAGTAAGGCGGCTCCCTCTCTCTCTCTCATACACGCACACCCACAACAAGGACAATGACAAGCCCTGCCCCCTCCCAGGCCGTTACCAGCGCTGACAGCCACCGAGTCATCCTCTTGGCAGGGCCGCCGCCGCCAAGAGCTCGGCCCGCTGGGTCCCGGGCACGGGGGGGGGGGCAGACGGAGAAGTAGAGCGTGGAGGGGGGTCAAGGGAGTAGCAATAGGGCACAGCGGGCCCTTCCCATGCCATCCCCTGGTGAGAGTTATGGGGTGCTGGGAGCCTGGAAAGGGAAGCACACACCACTTTGGATAAAGGAGATTCGAGAGGGCGTTTGGTAAGGACTGGAGCGTGCCACCGGAGGGCGGGGCCGGTCTGAAGGGGTAAGGTCGTGTCTGCGGAGGCTGGGCAGAGCTGGAATGGCTAGATTTCCAACCCATGCCCATCCGTCTGTCCACCTGTCCGTCCATCCATCCATCAACTTGTCCATCCTTCCATCTATCACCCATCGACCTATCAACCTGTTTATCCAACCTATTCACCCACCCACCCATCCATCCATCCATCAACCCATCCATCCATCCATCCATCCATCAACACATTCATCCATCCATCCATCCATCCATCCATCCATCCATCCATCAACACATTCATCCATCCATCAACCCATCCATCCATCCATCCATCCATCCATCAACACATTCATCCATCCATCCATCCATCCATCCATCCATCCATCAACACATTCATCCACCCACCCACCCACCTATTCATCCATCCATCCACTTATTCGTACACCCATCCATCTATCAACCTCTCTATCCACCATATTCATCCATTCATCCACCCGTCCACCATCCACCGTCCCCCCCCCTGCCCCCTCCCACACACCCATCGCGGGTGGTTGTTGAATGAATGAACGTTAGTGACTTGGCTGCGTGCGCCTCTAGCGGCGAGTTTCTCCACAGCCCGGCCTGGCTGGATGGGGTGGCGGTGGGGCACAAAGGGAAGAGGTCAGACCCGGGGGCACAGGCAGGGAGAGTCCAGACCCACAAAGCTGTCCTCACGGAGCTCTCCTGTCACCACCCCGTGAGCTGGCTACTGTCGTCCTCTCTGACTTAAACCAGGGCCCAGGGCGGTTGGGCGACTTGCCCAATGTCACGTGACCTGCCTGCCGGTCTCCAAGGTGTTCCCATGTGGCTCACAGGCCTTTCCCTTGTCCTGAACTCAGGGGTCATGTCGACTTACGCCATGTGTGTCCGCTACGACGGCATCGAGGTGGATGACAGCTACTGCGACGCCCTGACCCGTCCGGAGCCGGTCCAGGAGTTCTGCGCCGGGCGGGAGTGCCAGCCCAGGTACCGCCCCCCGGGCCCTGGGCAGGGGGCCTGTGAGGGGGGCTTGCTCTGCTTTGCCCCGAGGGGCGGCGGCCTCCTGCTCCTTCCAGAGGCCCTGCGGGCGGAGCCTGCCTGTCAGCGTCCTCCGTCGGCCCGCGCTTTGCATGCAGCCGTCACAGGGCCTTGCACACAGTCGGTGCTCAATCAGCGCTCTCCACCACAGATGGAGAAACCGTTCTGGACATCACTCTCTACTGTGGGTGACCCCTTTGCCCCCCGCTGACTTGGTGCAGCTGAGATTTTAATGAGCCTAAGGGACCCTTCCCTAAGCTCCGGGCAGACTGTCTGTCCCTGCGATGGGGGCCGGGGGCCGTGTTGCCAGCCTCCCGTCCTGCTTCACGGGCGGTCGGTGCCGAGGCCCTGACCGCGTCCCCTTCCTGGGCACGGTGGGGGCCGGTGCAGGGGCCCGGGATGAGCCCGCGGGCGCCAGCCTGCTGCCACTTGCTGGAGGGGCACATGCATCTTGCTCCCTGACTCTGCCACATGCTTCCCCCGCTCAAGGCTTCGCTGCCTGCCCGTCTGCTCCTGTCTTAGAAGCTGGGCATGTGGCCCTGCCCCCTGCTGCCCCCTCAGAGCCCCCACGGCAGGGTTCAGGGCTCTGGGACTTCGGGACACGATCCCAGCCTGAACAAAGGAACAGGGGACCAGGCCCAGGCTCCCTGAAGGGTCTGGAAGGCCAGGAGGAGCGGTGAGAGCCGGTGGAGGCGGCTCCAGCTTCGGGGCAGCTCCAGGCGCCCACCCACACCCCGCTCAGGAGCCCCTTAGAGAGCGCAAGTCCCCAGGGCAGCAGCCTCCACCGTGTGGCCTCGCCAGCGTCCCACATGCCTCGGCCCTCGTGACTTGGACCACACGGGGAGGGAGGGGGTGCCGCAGTGTCCCCAGGTGCGGGGCCGCACGGGGCAGGAAGCGGGGGTCGCTGAAGGCCACCCCTCCCGAGGCAGGTGGGAGACCAGCAGCTGGAGCGAGTGCTCGCGGACCTGCGGGGAGGGCTACCAGTTCCGCATCGTGCGCTGCTGGAAGATGCTGTCGCCGGGCTTCGACAGCTCCGTGTACAGCGACCTGTGCGAGGCCGCCGAGGCCGTGCGGCCCGAGGCACGCAAGACGTGCCGCAACCCGGCCTGCGGGCCGCAGTGGGAGATGTCTGAGTGGTCCGAGGTGAGCGTGCGCCCGCCGCGGGGGCCCGGCCGGCAGGCAGAGCCGCGCGCCGCCGCCCTGACCCCGCGCCCGCCGGCCCCTCGCAGTGCACGGCCAAGTGCGGAGAGCGCAGCGTGGTGACCAGGGACATCCGCTGCTCGGAGGACGAGCAGCTCTGCGACCCCAGCACCAGGCCCGCGGGGGAGAAGGGCTGCACGGGGCCCCCCTGTGACCGCCAGTGGACCGTCTCCGACTGGGGGCCGGTGAGGGCCGGGCCCCGGGGAGGGGCGCTGCGGGGTGGGGGCCCGGGCGCTTCGCCGGGCTGCGCCGCGGTCTCCCGGTTTGTCTGGCGTGAGGATGTGGAGGAAGGACTGGCTTTTCTCCTCGTTATGATGAGAGATCAGGGCCTTTGTCCTAAAACAGGCGGCCCACACGGGGATCCCGCTTTATAACCCCTCTGTCTGTCTCCCTGTGCGTCTGTCCCGGTCTCCTGGTCGGGAAGAAAGACGCTCAGACGCTCCCCGGGGTGCCCTCTGGGTGCTGGGTGCGCAGATGGCCTGGTGGGTTTAGATGTGTGTCTGTCTCTCTGTGTTTCCATCGAGCAGGCAGCGTCTCTGTCCCTAGAGCAGAGCATGCGATGCCCACCGCGGTTACCATGGCAACGGGCCCCCACGCTGCCCGGGGGACGGTCTCCTCTCTCTCTCTCTTTCTTTCTCTTCCTCCCTCGCGGGAGTGACGTCGGGGGACCCGGAGCGGGCTGGCTCGAACCGCGCGTGTCCCCCTGCAGTGCAGCGGAAGCTGCGGCCAGGGCCGCATGATCCGGCACGTGTACTGCAAGACCAGCGACGGGCGGGTGGTGCCCGAGTCTCAGTGCCAGACGGAGACCAAGCCGCTGGCCATCCACCCCTGCGGGGACAAGAACTGCCCGGCGCACTGGCTGGCCCAGGACTGGGAGCGGGTGAGCGGTCTGAGCCCGGCACGGCCCCCGCCGGGAGAGCCTCGGCAGAGAGCGGGGTGGCCAGGCCGACGCCTCGGTCAAAATGAGGCCTAGTTGTAAATGATAACGGTCCAGTGCCCTGAAAATTAGCTCGAAGTAGGAAATGCCCAGAAGGTAGGAAAACTCCTCCAAACGTTCCCGTCTGAGTAGACAAATGCTCAGGGGCGCGTGCGGCCTCCGCCCCGTCCCCGCTCCGTCCCTGCTGCCCACCCCGCCCCCCATCGCCCGTGTCTGGGGAACTGGGAGGGGCCAGCTGTGCTCGCTTCGGGCCCGGGTCCTTGTTCTCCAGGCCAGCTTCACGGTCACTGCCTGCGGTCTCCGACGGGCTGTGCTCAGCCTCGCCGCCCTCCACCAGCCGTTTCAGGCGGCTGCTGGTCGCCAGGACACCTTGGGCCAAATAGTCATGATCCATTTTGTTTTAAAACGGATGGTTTTCTGCTAAATTGCTTTTGATCAAATCCGTTTAGGGCCAAAGGGCCATCGCCCAGAGCTCTCAGCCAGTTCGCCACCCGCCTCGGAGTCTCCGTCCCGGCTGATGACGAAGCCGTGCCCCCCCGGGGGGGGGGCCGCGTGGGCTGCGTCCTGGTCCCCCCCGCCCTGGCCTCTGACCCCCGCTGTCCCCTGCCCCAGTGCAACACCACCTGCGGGCGAGGCGTGAAGAAGCGGCTGGTCCTGTGCATGGAGCTGGCCAACGGGAAGCCGCAGACACGCAGCGGCCCCGAGTGCGGGCTGGCCCAGAAGCCTCCCGAGGAGAGCGCCTGCTTCGAGAGGCCCTGCTTCAAGTGGTACACCAGCCCGTGGTCCGAGGTGAGCGTCCGCTGCCCCAGAGGCTGCCTGGGGCCCGGCCTCGGGTCTGGTCCTGGTCAGCACCAGCTCCCCGGCCCCGCGTGCCCCGCAGGTCCCCCTCGTCAGCCTCCACTGAGGCTTTCTGCCCCCGGAAAGCTTCTCAGCTCCACCTCGCCGGCTGGTGCCAGAGCCGCCTCTTCCAGGAAGCCTTCTTGGCTCTCGCCCCAGGGATCCCTGCAGTGCTGGTCCTGGGCCTCCCCTAGGCTGGGTCACTTCTGGCCCCGCTTGTCCCCTTTTTGTCGTGCATTCGACGACACGTGTGTCTCAGACACCCCCACCCGCGGCTTCCGTGGTCGCAGGCCCCTGACGGGTAGAAGCCGTGTCCCCAGACTCTGGAGTTCAAGGTGCAGATTCTCAGTGTGAGTCGGGGCTGAGTCTGGATTCCACGGGGGCCGCCCCCGCAGCGGGGGCTCTGCCAGGTCCAGGGATCGCAGAGGAGGGGGCGGGGCAGTGTCTGGGCTCGAACCCTGCCCTGGCGGGGCCTGTGCTCGCCTTGCAGCTCACAGGCTCCCGTCCCGCCCCTGACGGCCGCCAGAGGGCCCTGGGGCGGAAAAGAGCGCAAGGGGCCTCCCTGGGAGGTGTCAGCCCCAGGGCCCAGGGGTGTCCGATGGCTGCGGAGGCGGAGACACATCGGGGAGTGAGGGTCCCCCTGGAACGGCCGAGTTCAGCTGCTCATTGAGGACAGGAAGGGCCGGGGGTGTGGGCAGACGTGGGCTTGGGCCCCAGGGCCATGCCGGGACCTGCACCTTGGACGGGACACCTGGCCTCAGACCTTGGGAAGCGGCTGTGAGCTGGGGCCAGGACCTGCTGGACGCCGTGCTGGGCGCAGGCCATGGAAGGGAGGCAGCCGGGTAGGGTGGGGGCAGGGCAGAGACAGCCTGGAGCCCTGGGCAGGGGCTTCCTGTGTTGCCCCGAGGGCCGTGAAAAGGTGAGGGGCGACCGGCTCGAGGGACAGCGGGTGTGGGAGGCTCAGTGAGAGTTTGTTCCTCCAGCCGCTGCGCCCAGTCCCCAGGGACAGGGGAGCGGGTGCCAGGGCACGTCCTGAGGCCCCTCAGGGCGCCCCCCAAGGCCGACCGCCCTCTCGTGGCCCCCGGCCTGGGCCAGCCCCCGAGCTGGGAGCGGGCACGGGCGGCGGCCGGCCCTGCTCCGGCTCATTCTCCTCCGCCAACAGGTCCAGGGAATGAGGGCCCAGGTCCCAGACAGGCCTGGGTGACGCGGGGTCAGCCTCGTGGGGGGGGCGCGAGGGGGCCCCCGGCTGCAGGCTGTTGGCAGCGGGACGGGGGGCTAAGTGGGGTCAGCAGCTGTCCCGGTTGCGCCGGGTCGCTCGGCGGGGTTTTCCGAGGGCAACATCTGGACAGCGAGCTGCGGGGCGGGTGGGGGTGGGGTGGCTTTGGAGGATGCGTTCAGCTGGCCCGTGACGAACAGCTCTTCGCTGGAGTGGAAATCCAGCACTGCCCCTGAGACCCGGGCCCACGTGTCCCGGGCACTGGAAACCCAGGGAAGCCCGGGGCGGGGGGCGGCCGAGGGGGGTCCACCCCTCCTGCGCACAGCGGGGCTGAGGCCGCGCTGGGTGGGGCTGAGTGGCAGCCGGCGGCCGGCAGGCCCGTGCGAGCGGAGACGCGGCAGCGCGGCCAGGCGCGGCCCCCATGCCTCCTTCCCCACCAGTGCACCAAGACCTGCGGCGTGGGCGTGCGAATGCGGGACGTGAAGTGCTACCAGGGCACCGACATCGTCCGCGGCTGCGATCCCCTGGTGAAGCCTGTGGGCCGGCAGGCCTGCGACCTGCAGCCCTGCCCCACGGAGCCCCCGGGTGAGCGGGCCGGGCCGGGCCGGGGACGGGGGGTGGGTGGTGGGGGGGCCCAGCGTGACAGCCGACTGCCCAGGGCTGGGCATGCAGCGTGTCTCCGGGCCTCAAGGGGGCACCTGTGCACCTGCTGGGCGGGGCCTCGCCTGCTGGCCTCCCGGGGATACTTTGGGAGCCCAGATCAGCGGCTCCTCCCCATCCTGGTCCCTGGACGGGCGCACCGTCGCCCCCCGGGCACAGATCCAAGCCACCGCCAGGGCCTCGACCTTCCCCGAGACGGGTGGGGGCGGGGAAGATAGAGGCCCATGGCCTGTGACCCTGGAACTGGCACGGATGGGCCGCCTGTGCCCCGGGGCTTGGTGACCCAGAGCGGCTCTGGTGCCTCCCCTCCCCTCGGTGGAGGAGAAGGGCGGCGGGGTGGTGTGGGGCGCGGGGCAGCGGGGCGGGGCGGTGCGGCGGGGCGGGGCGGGGCGGCGGCCCTCTCTGATGTCCTGTGCCCCACCCCGTCCCTGCCCAGATGACAGCTGCCAGGACCAGCCGGGCACCAACTGCGCCTTAGCCATCAAAGTGAGCCTCTGCGGCCACTGGTACTACAGCAAGGCCTGCTGCCGCTCCTGCAGGCCCGCGCACCCCTAGGCCCGGCCGCTGCGCCCCTCGGACCAGCGCCCGCCCCGGGGCTGCCGCAGCCTCGGGCCCCTCCATGGACAGCCTGCCCGCAGGGCGCCCCGGCTGCGCAGACGAGACACTGAGCTGCTGCCGTCCCCCGGGAAGGGGGGCCCGGGGCGCAGGGCGGCCTCCCAAACAGAGCACCCCGCCACGCAGGCAGCTGCTCTCAGAGCCGAGGACGGCGTGTCTGCGGTCCCCACGCTCCAGCGTCCAGCCCCGCGCCCAGGGCCCAGGGACCACAGGTGGAGGTGACCGGGCCACCTGCTCCCCAGCCCTCGCTTCTCTGGGGTCAGCCCTGGGCAGGCCCTGCCTCCAGGGTGGGGGGCAGGCAGGGTGGGGCCAGCGGGAAGGTGCCGGTGCTGCCCGGGGCCCCGGTCCTGCTGAGGTGCGCCCCTGCCGGAGGAGCTCTCGCCCCTGCCCGGCGCCCGGTGCCCCCACGACCCTCGCACACGGAGCGACCCGCCGCACTGCACGCCCAGGAGGAGGCGCTCTCGCACGCTGAGCCTGCTCCCTGGTGCCCATCACTGCTCCTCTGTCTGTTAATAAAGTGGTCGTATTTATGGCGGCATCATGCGCTCTCGGTGACTCTGGCCGGGGGGATGGGGGGGCTGTCCAGGTCACCCGCTCAGGAGGATGGGCAAAGGCCTGAGGCCCGGGGCCGGGCGGCCGGGGCTCCGCAGAGAATACAGAAGTGAGAGTGGGGAGCTTGCAGGCGGGGCCTTCGGGGGCGTCAGGGCTTGGGGGCTGCGGTCAAAATTCAGCCGGACCCTTGAGCCCATCGATGGCGGGGACCTGGGGGTGGGTGACCGGGGGCGCATGGAGGGCCCTGGTCAAACGTGGAGCCCGGGAGGACGTGGGGTGCTGGCGGGCACTCTGTGATTGACCTGCACTGCAGGGCGTGGGGCGCCCGCCTCCCTCTGGGCGGGCCAGGCGGAGCAGGGGTGACGAGGCAGGCCGCTGGAGCCGCCCCGGGCGCTTGGGAGCCGCCTGCCATCGCTGTTTCTGGGCCTTTGGGGACGGCAGCTTAATCTGGACTTTGGGTGCAGGACACGGGAGGACTTCCTGGAGGGCTTCCTGGAGGAGGGGATGTTCGGGCTGGCCCAGCGGCAGGAGTGGCTCTCCCAGATGAAAGCGGCGGGCGGGGGGAAGGGGAGGTAAGAGTGTGAGGAAGTGGTAACAGGCTCCACAAAGCCTCGGCGGACAGACGCGGGCGGTGCAGGGCGTTGAGAGCCACGCGGGCCCTGCGGCCAGGGGAGGCCTCGGGCGCCCACCTGCACAGAGCAGCGAGGCCACGTGGGGCGAGGGTGCCGCAGCGGCCTCTCCTTGGGGGACAAGTAGAAGCAGGGCCTGTGGCTGCTTCCTGGGAGCCGGGTCGGCGCGTCCCGGAACTGGGGCCAGTCTGGGGGCCACCACGCGGTGTGTAAGATGGCGGGATTGAGGGACATCCAAGGCCCGAGCGGTGGGCTTGCCCAAGGCCCCCACAATCCAGTGCCTACCCCCTTGTGTCCCGACAAGGACCCCGCCCCGCCCCCCCCCCCGCTCCACTCCTCCCCCTCCTCTCCACCGCCCTCCTCTCCGCTCACTGCTCGCCAGGCCCTGCGCCCGGCACTCCCTCGGCGCTCTTGTTCCCTGAGCACGACATCCGTCCACGTCGTCATCACCTCCCTGTGGTCGCGTGAAGGCTGAGGCCAGGGACGGCCGCCACCTGCGCCCGGTGGCCCAGCCCGGCGCCCACAACGCCCCTCCAGGAGCTCGGAGTTCAGGCCCGTGGCCCCCGGTCTCAGAAGGCAGACACCACCCCCCGGGGAACCTCAAGCATGAAGGAGGCCTGCAGGGGCTGCCCCTCCGGCCAGCGGCCCGGCCCCACGGGCGGACAGGACGAGGCGGGTTCCGCCTGGCACCGGGCTGCACAGAGCCCTCCCAGAAGTCTCCCGCGAGGGCTCAGGCGGGCCCGGAGCCCCCCGCAGACTGCAGACAGCGGCATGGGGTGTTGAGGCCAGGTTTATTGGCTTTCTGCTTCTCCCAGGGAGAGGCGGCTCCCTGAAGTCGCCGTGCATGCCTGGGTGGCACTTTTCCCATTTCAAACTGACCCCGGAATCCACACAGAGGACAGAGACCAGCGAAGGACAGCACAGAGCAGAGCGGCCGCCTCGGCCCTCGCCCCCACCCCCACCCCCCCCACCCCCCCAAGCGAATGCGTCAAAACAAACTGTGGGTTTCCCGAGGGGGAAGGGGCGGGGGGGCTCTGGGAAGCGTCTGTACTGAGGCGGGTGGGGAGGGGGAAGGGGGAAGAGGGGAAAAAATCGAGGCGGCTAAAAAGAGTCAGTCTTTGCTCACTGCACACGGCCGTCCTGTGCGGCCGTTCCAGCCCTTGGGTAAGACCGCGCAGGCCGCCCCTGGCTTAGGAGCGGTCCCGGCCCTCACGGGTTTGTCTTGCAGGGAGACGGGTGGCTGGGGGCTCGATGCACCTTCTTGGGCGGAAACCCACGCTACCTGGGCTTCCAGAGGCAGAGAGCTCCCCGGAGAGGGCGGGGCGGGGGGCATGCTTCGGAGAGAGGAACCGCCTCCGCCCCGGGCGAGGATCTGCGCTCCCCAGGGCGGGCGCCCCGGGTTCGGGGTGCTCCTCGTGGGGGGGCCGTTGGGCATTGTTTCCTGGCTGCAGAGAGGGGGCTGAGAGTGTGCTCCTGGGGAGACCCCGGCTCTGCTGGGGGCTCAGCGCAGAGTGGGCCCCGCGGAGGCCTCCCCACGGAGCAGGGCAGGGGAGGCCGGGTCCTTCCTGCTCCCAGGTCACCCTGAGGAGGAGGTGGCAGAGAGAGACGGGCCCCTCTCCCCTGTGACCGAGCTTGACGGGCGCCTGGAGGCGGAGGCCCAGGGACGGGGGTGGGGGCCTGTCTCGGGTCTCAGGGGCCTTGTGGCCGTGGGCCCACGGCGCCGTCCACACGCCATGTCAGGCCTGAGGGACGGGCTGTGTGTTTCAGTGCGGACGCTCCCCCAGCAGGCAGTTGCGAACGGCCCCTTCTCCCTCTTTCACCAAAAAGCCCATCGAGCCTGGGCATCCCTGAGGCCCGGCCGCCCCCGGATCTCCCCCACCCAGGGGGCTCCGCTGAGAGGCCAGCTCCGCCTGGGCTCAGCCGCCTGGCCCTTGAAGCCAGGGGCGTGCGTGGGGGAGGAGAGGCAGAGCCCCCCTGCTCTGGTGGGAAGGGCCAAAGAGTTGGTCCGAAGTCGCCGGGGAAGGCTGGCTCCGGGGCCCTGCGCGTGGTGACGGCCACCCCTCCGTGGAAGAGACAGGTGGCCTGAGGCCGAGGGAGGGAGAGGCGGGGCTGGCGAGGCAGCCGGAGGGGCCGGTGGCGGGCCGAGGCGGAGGCCGCTGTCCGCCGCGCCGGCACAGACGGCGGCGGGGCCCGGCTGCTCCGCAGTCCTCGCCTGGAGGCCGCGCTGCTCACCTGGGCCGCATCACGCCCGCCTCTCCTCCCGCCCGGCCGCCCTAGCCCTGGCCCTGCCGCCCTGCACTGACCGCACCCCTGCAGTGAGCCCCGGAGCGCCCCGAGGGCCAGGCCCTGCGCAGACAGGGCCGTAAGGAAGGCCGGGCCAAGCCTGGGTCCGGGGCCAGGCTGGCGGGCCACGGGGACCCCGCCATGGTCTCAGGACCTGCTGGCGGGAACGGGGTTGGCGGGAGGGGGGGGCGGGGGGGCGCGCTCAGACGTCGGTGCTGATGCTGCGGCTCCGCGAGAAGGCCTCCCGCATGGCTGAGAGGCGGCGGGGGTCGAGCGCCTGCAGGCCCCCGAGGGGCGTGGGCGGCAGCCCCACGTCCTCCTGGCTGATGGCCTTGTAGGCCACGCGCCCCCCGCCGTTGGGCACGACCTCGTCCTCGTCCTCGGGCTCCTGAAGGAAGAAGGTGGGCGGCTCGCAGTGGGAGCAGCTGCGGCAGAGGGCGCGGGCCTGCGGGGCCCTCTGGCTGAACGGGGTGGCGGCGGCCGGGCCGAGCGCGGGCCCGTTGGTCAGCACCAGGCTGCGGCTGCAGGGCAGCGGGGGCCGGCCGGAGTGCACGGCGAAGTCAGGCTCCTCCTCGTCCTCCTCGGGCTCCTCCTTCTTGCAGCAGTAGTACTGCGGGCAGGGGGGACAGCTGCGGACCCCGCCCCCGCCCCCGCCCCCGCTCCCACGGACCTCCAGCCCTTCCCGACAGCCTCCGCGTGGGGGGCGTTTGCCGAGCGGTGTTCGCTCCTCTCATCCGCACGGCAGCCAGAGGCAGGCACCGTGCAGGTGGGGACATCGAGGCTCGGGGGGTCGGGCAGCCCGGCCTCCACGTAGTCCCGGGCACCGTGTGTGCTGCTTCGGCCTGCAGGGGGCTCCCCCCATCTGAGACGGCCCCAGGACGTGGGCGGGGAAGGGAGGGCAGGGCGCCCTTGGCTGAGCCCCAGCCCCACTCTGAGCCACGGCGGGGGGAGGCCCTGGGCGGAGAGGCACTGACCCCCCAAGGGGGTCGGGCTGGGGTTGTCTGCTTCCCGCCTTCTTTCCGCCCCCCACCCGGCCCCTCGCCCCCGTGGGGGCCCCCTGTACCTGCAGCCGGCAGTAGCACAGAACCGCGATGATGCACAGCAGAATCACAGTTGCCAAGATGCCCCCGGTGATAACCACGGTCCCGGCTGTCATCCGCTCCCTTCTCCATCAACAGCCTGCAGCACACACACACGCAGGGGCGCGTCCTCACAGACGGGCCGGTCACCCCGACAGGGCCGCGACACGTCGGGTGGGGGAGCCGGACACCCCGGGGCGCACACGCGGGCGGCAGCCGGCGGTCGGGCCGCTCGGCCTCCCTCTCCCGGCCCCCCGCCCGGCCCTGTGGACGGTGACGCCGAGCCCATGCTGCTCTGTCCTCGGGGGCTCGGGATGGCGTTGCGAACAGGCGTTTCGGGGCGCAGCGGGGCGTCCCGTCGTGGCGGCGCCCCTCCAGCCTCGCTCTGCGAGCCCGCTTCTCCCCATGTTTACCCCCAGGCAGCCTGGCTGAGTGCAGGGTTTTGTAACCTGTGTTCTCATCCGACAGGATTGCCCTTATTTTTTCTAGCATTAGGTTTTCGTCTGCAACCAAACTTCCAGCCCTATTCTACTGTATAACGTAACGGATCCCTTTCTTAACAGTTGTAATTTGTGGTAAAATACACAAAACATAAAACTTGCCCTCTTAACTCGTTTTGATTTTTTTAAGATTTTATTTCTTTATTTTTAGAGGGGAAGGGAGGAGGAGAGAGAGGGAGAGAAACATCGACCGGTCGACGCTCGCATGCACCCTGACCGGGAATCGAACCGGCGACCCTTCGCCTTTTGGGACGAGGCCCAGCCCACTGAGCCGGGCCGGTCAGGGCGTTGCCAGATTTCAGTGCCCGGCTGCGTGGTGTTTGGTGTATTCACCTTGCTGTACGGCCGATCTCCAGAGCTTTCTCATCTTCCAAAACCCAACCGATTCCTTTTTGATATTTAGGCTGTTTACATTCAAAAAAGTTTTTAAAACTTTTAAAATGGTTTAAAAAGTGTGTGGGTTTGTTTTCTTTTTGTTTTTTGTACTTTCTGTAGCTATGTAATTGGGCCACGTGAATTTTAGAACCTACTTCAAATACCCTTCTAGAGTAAATTCTTTGAGGTGGCATTCCTAGGCCTAGGGACGTGCCCTGTGTACGCTCTTTATTGTGGAAGATGTCACGCAAACAAGTGGCAGGGACGCGTGGCGGCCACCAGCCGTGCGCTGGCGGGTCCGTCCAGCCGGGTGCCAATAAACCAGCCTGCAGGACACGAGCCTCCGGGTCGGAGGCTGACGTCTGAGCCGCCAACATTCTCACCGTGGCCGTCTGACGTCACCGAGGGTGACGGCGGGCGTGCGGAACTCCAGGACGGCGAGCAACGCCTCTCTCCCCCAAAGCGGCAGCGGCTGCCTTCAACACGCCCTCCCTCAGTTCCCCATCCTTCGATTCTCTCTGCAGGGGGTGGCGTGGGGGCCCCCGAGCCTGTCCGTGATCGCTTACCCACGAGAGCGCCCCGTGTGACAGAAGGGGACTCCAAAAAGACCCAGCAAAAACCAAAACACCAAACAACCCGGTCAGTGTCTAGCTTCCCGCAACCGTCTCCACAGCGCCTCTTCACAGCTGGCTTGCTCGCGGCAGGACGCGCCCCGCCGGGCTCCTCCGACTCCAGCCGAGGCCGGCCCCACCGCACTCCGCCCCTCGCCGCCCTGCGCACGCGGTTTCGAGAGGAAACTGGGTCATCGCTGCGAGAGAATCTGCTCTGAACGAGCGCAGGCTGGGTTTTCTCCTGTGGCGCTGAACATGCTCCTCTGCTGCTGTTCCGTCCTCTGAACGGGCTGCCGCCTGCGTCACCCTCGGGCCCCGGGGACCGCGCCCCTCCCCGCCCCCGCCGTGTGCCGTGGAGATTAAGCAGCGGGGGTGCAGCGCTGCCAGCGCCGTTCTTCCGTGGCGAAGCTCCCCTCGGCCTCCCACCCTGCGCTGTTATCAGCCCCTGGGGATCACTCCCGACCCATTACTTCCTGAGGGGCGGAGAACAGCGGCTTTCCAAGCGCTGTGCCTCCTTCGCACTCGCTGCGCTGGGCCTTCTCTCCCGCGCATCCTGATGGCCTGGATGTTCCCCTAAAACACAGCCCGCAGCGGGGAGACGTGGGTGCCCGGTTCTTGCCAGCTTCCAGGATAAGCTGGGGCCCCTGAGCCGGAGGTGGCGTGATGGTGTCACGTGACCTCCGGATCCTCAGGCAGTGATGGGTCGGTACACAGCAGTCGCCATTCTGGCAGCCGTTCAAGTGATCCCCCGGGGACTGCGGGTTGGGCGCCCCCCGCACCCCTGCGTTGCGGGCTTTGCTGTTTTCACGCCGCCCCACTAATTCCCCAGGGCATTGTGCTTTCGGGCCCAGGACGCCCTGTCTCATTTTGCCCCGACCTGGGCAGCATCGCCTCTGTGACCCCCGGGCCCGCCAGTGGGGCGGGGCCTGTCGTGCTCGCTGCCCCTGCAGGGAACCTTTGCAGGGAACGGAGCGGGGGAATTTTTTTTTTTAAATTTTTTTAGGAAGACAAAACGAAAACATGAGTCATGCTGATAATTTCCACCGAAGATAAGAGATTACAGGGTTTTTCCTTGTGAAAGTTCGATGTCTACACGGCCTGTTCGGTGACAATCTTCCCGAATGACACACGCCCCATCGCTCGTTTGCGGTTTTCCGTTACCTGTAACGGCTGAGTATAACAGGTCGCTGTGTTCACCACCGCGGCTGCTGAATGCAGTGCGCTGTCTACGTGCTGCTCGGGAGGTGGCTGCTCTACCCCGTGGGGATGGAAAGCCACTGAAACAATTTCTTAGTGCGCTTCCCTGCCCCCTTGGCGCTTCCGTTCTTTTCTTCCAGGCAGCGCCATCTTTTCAAAAATTGGTGTGAGTTTGAATTTGAGGTGCAGGAAACGTCGTTCCAGTCACGGGCGGGAAACCAGGTGCATTCAGAGGCCTTCCTTCCTGCCCTGCCGCCCCCTCGGCCCCCCGCCCCCGGCGCGGCCGGAGGACTGTCCTCGACTCTGGGTCGGTTCCTTCTGAACATCCAGGGGAACGCAGATGGGCCCCCCCGGGGACGCAGAAGCGGCAGCCACCACCTCCTCCCTGCGCGCCCCTCACCTCGCCTGGCGGCCACCCTCAGGGCAACCGCATCTCCGCAACGCGCGATGTCCCCGGGGTCCCCGCAGAACCAGGACGGGGCCGCCTGCTCCCCCCACGGCCGTGCCGCGTGGGGCCCACGCCCAGCCAGGCCCCGCGGTGGGCATCCACGTGACTTCCCCTTTTTTCGAGCGCAGGAATGTGCGGGGAGAGCTCTGGGGCACGCACGTCTCTGAAGATTTCGATACACCCTGCCAAAGGCTTGCTGGAATTCGGGCCGATTTTTCCCCTGCCAGGAATGTGTGAGGGTAGCTGACAGACGGGGCTCTCGCACAGGCTCCAGGCCTGGCCGGCCGGTGGGTCAGGGCTGCGGGGGCCGCGGCGGCGGGGGCCGGCGGTGGTCCCGGCCGACCCCCCGCCTGGTAGGGCACGTGGCCGGGCAGGACGGCCGGGCCCCTGGGCACGGGGCGGGGGCGGGGGGCGGGACCGCAGACATGCGCCGACACAGAGGGCGCTGCCAGGCGGCACTGAGCATCGGGGGCGAAGCAGGGTGGGGAGCCGGGCCCTCCGACAGACAGACAGACAGACAGATCCAGACAGACCCGAAGCGATTAGGCAGGGAGACACAGACTCACAGACAGCTGCTCGCTCAGACAGACAGAGGGGCAGACAGGCAGCCCCAGACAGCCCGCCCGACAGCCCGCGTCAGGGAGACACAGCGAGGCCACACAGGCAGGCGGAGCGGGGGCCGGGACCCCCGCATTCCTGGGCGCCCTGCCGGCCAGCTCCGGCCCGCCCTGGCCCCCAGGGCTGCTGAGGCCAGCTGGCCCGCCGGCCCTGCCGAGGGTGCGGGCCGACTCGGCCCGATCCAGGGAGCGGAGGTGCCGAGGGGCGGCCGGCGGGGGACGCTGGGCGGGGGCCAGGCCTGCTGTCCAGATGCATTTCACGCTCCGCGCTGAGGTGAGGCAAAGCGGAGCCGCAGCCGCCGGCAGAGCGCCGGGCGCGGCCCGCCCCCCGCCCGTCCTGTGGGGCGCGGGGCGCCGCGGCTTCCTCTGCGGTGGCCGGAGGGCGGGCAGCGGATGACCCCCGGGTGCCCCACCCCAGTCCTCAGGGCGGCTGAGGGAGGCAGACTGGGCAGAACAGACCTGGGGACCCCGGTTTTGCAGGTGAGGAGAGGATGGCTCTGGGAGGGGTGGGGCCACGCCCAGGGGCCCGGCCGAACCTGGTCCCTGCACCTCCTTTCCGCAAATGGCCCCCACCCCAGCCGAGAGCCACGCAGGGCCCACCCCCTGCCACGGGGAACCCCAGGCCCCCCGGGGACTCAGCGTCCCCTCCTCCTGCCTCCCACTGGTCAGGCAGGTCCCCTCTCTGAGACCCCGACGCCATGGGGCGGGGGCCGCTCTTTTGAAGGTGAGCAAACTGAGGCGGGAGAGGAGAGGGCCCACACCCTGGTCCCAGCCCCCGGGGGTGGCAGGGTCGGTGTCCGGGCTGGATCTGCTGTGACCGGCACGTTTCGGGGCAGGAGGCCCCCCGACCCCGGAGCCCCACACTCCTGCTGGAGGTCGCACGCTCTGCAGCCCGTGTCATCTTTGGGGGACGCCGCTGGGCTTCGGGGTGCCAGACCGGCCCGCCCTGTGTGTCCTGTCCCTGAGCCATGTGTCTGGCAGCCGCCTGTGCACCCCCTACAGCGGCCCGTCTGGCCACAGCTTCCTGAGGTCGGAGTGCACGTGCACCCCAGGCTGGGACGCGGCTGTGGGACCTGGACGCTAGCCCGGCCCTGTTGGTCACTTGACCGCGGGTGCAGACGGGGTGCTCAGGCCAGAGGAGCCGGGCCAAGAGGGAGAGCGGAAGGAGCAGGCGCCCGCCCCGGGGAAGGCAGGCTGTCTGCGGTCCCGACTCACGGGGTCCCGCCCCTCCCCAGAACTGCCGAGCGGCTGTGCGGCTGTCTCCGCCAGCGTCTTTCTGCTCCTTACGCCCCAAAAGGTCATGAGGGTCCCACCTCATCGACAGGGACT